TGGGAAGGTCCTGGTGAATGGTTATTGAGGTCCTGGTGAATTGAAGGTCCTGGTGAACGGTTATTGAGAAGGTCCTGGTGATTGGTTATTGAGGTCCTGGTGAATGGTTATTGAGAAGGTCCTGGTGAATGGTTATTGAGAAGGTCCTGGTGATTGGTTATTGAGGTCCTGGTGAATACGAAGGGGCTGACCATTGTTCTTGATTCACAGGACTTGGCGGAGCGTTGCAGCGTCGCTGCAGATGGGTGGGGGATAGGTTTGTGACAGCACGAGCAACCAGGGTGTTGGGGTCAACTTTGAGCGTGTCGAGGTCAACTTGGGGGCGTCGGGGTTAAATTGAGGGCGTCAGGGTCAAGTTGAGGGTGTCGTGGTAATTTTTAGGGTGTTGGGGTCAAGTTGAGGGTGTCGGGGTCAACTTGAGGGTATCGAGGTCAACATGAGGGTGTCGGGGTCAACTTGAGGGTGTCGGGGTCAACTTGAGAGCGTCGGGGTCAACTTGAGGGTGTCGGGGTCAACTTGAGGGTGTCGGGGTCAACTTGAGGGTATCGAGGTCAACATGAGGGTGTCTGGGTCAACATGAGGGTGTCGGGGTCAACTTGAGGGTGTTGGGGTCAACTTGAGGGTGTCGGGGTCAACATGAGGGTATCGAGGTCAACATGAGGGTGTCTGGGTCAACATGAGGGTATCGAAGTCAACTTGAGGGTGTCGGGGTCAACTTGAGGGTGTCGGGGTCAACATGAAAGTATCGAGGTCAACATGAGGGTGTCGGAGTCAACTTGAGGGTGTCGGGGTCAACATGAGGGTGTCGGGGTCAACTTGAGGGCGTCTAGGTCAACTTGTGGGTGTCGGGGTCGATTTGAGGTTGTCGGGGTCAACTTGAGGGCGTCGGGGCCAACGCGACGACCGATGATCGATCCCCCGCCCTCCAGAGCAGCAGCAACAACAACAACGCGAGGCGCCCTGCCAAGGATGACCCCAAACCCCGCCCCCGGCGCGTGCTTTTGGGCCGTTCTCTTCGGGTTGCATCTCGTTGCGTGCTCTTGGCTCCACCTCGCCGCCTGCTTGGACGCCGTCGACGAAGCCCTTCTCAGGCTGCAAAAAAAAGAAGTTTTTTTTTTTGCATTGAACATCGACAGCGCCGAAAGCGTTGGGCGTTTGGGTTTGGTACGCCGGCCTCTCGCCCGTAAGCTCAAGAGGACCAACGGGGTATGGGCGTTTTAGTTTGCGTGTCTCTCTCTCTCTCATCATCATCACGGTGGCTATGAGATGTTAACTACCTCGCCTGGTATACAGGAGGTCGTGGGTTCAGACTCTACCCTGACGCCTGCTGCTGTATATTTGGAGTTTGCGTGACTCTCTCTCTCTCTCATCATCACGGTGGCTGAGAGATGTTAACTACCTCGCCTGGTATGCAGGAGGTCGTGGGTTCAAACTCTACCCTGACGCCTGCTGCTACTGTATATTTAGAGTATGCGTGTCTCTTTTTCTCATCATCATCATCACGGTGGCGAGGAGATGTTAACTACCTCCGGGTCCTCTGGTTTTCCTCTCCACACTTAGAATCAACACACTGTTTAAAGTATTTGGCTGCTTTAAATTTACACACGTGATCGTGATAAATTTACACACGTGATGATGATATATTTACACACGTGATGATGATAAATTTACTCACGTGATGATGATATATTTACACACGTGATGATGATAAATTTACTCACGTGATGATGATAAATTTACATACGTGATGATGATGATAAATTTACACACGTGATGATAAATTTACTCACGTTATGATGATACATTTACACACGTGATGATGGTGATAAATTTACACACGTGATGATGATAAATTTACACACGTGATGATGATACATTTACACACGTGATGATGATGATAAATTTACACACGTGATGATGATAAATTTACACACGTGATGATGATAAATTTACACACGTGATGATGATAAATTTACTCACGTGATGATGATAAATTTACACACGTGATGATGATAAATTTACACACGTGATGATAATAAATTTACACACGTGATGATGATAAATTTACACACGTGATGATGATGATGATGAGCCGCTTTCGTTGAGCTATCGTTTGTCATAGCCAGTTCGCTTTTGAAAAAAATAACCTATATAGCTCGGTGGGTCTTACCTGGTAAAATAAAAAAATAGTTTACAGTTAATGCACGCTTTTAACAGAGGCAATTATCCGAACCGGTCCCGAGACTCGCCTAGGTCGACTCAGCTTTCAAAGATCGTGTACGTCATACGAGGAGGGGCTGCCCGCCCCCCCCCACACACCTCCTCGTGTGCTTTTAGTTTTTTTCTCTTTTTGCAGACCTTGTTCGATCCACTGCTGGATTAAGGTGTTGCCCTGGCCTCGTTAAATCTCACGTGCGTTCATACAGAGGCGCCTTTGGCTCGAGGCGCTTATACGGAACGGTGGCATGGAACGGAACGACTTAGGGTGACAGGGGGCGACCTGCAAAGGGCGTTGAGAGACGAGTGAGCAGCACGGGATGCTTAGAGGGGGGTAGCGGAAGGGTTGCAGGGGAGGGACGGGAAGGAGTGGAGGGGCGAGGGGAGGGAAGAGGAGGCGAGCCTTTGAGAGAGGAACCCGAAGGAGGCTAAGGAGGGGGAACTGCTTCACGTACGGGGAAAGTGCTCGCCGAGAGCCGGCAGCCAGCGGTGGAAATTCCACATTCCTCTGGTGGGGGGGCGGCGGGGATGGGGGGCAAGCATCTCCATGCGTGTGACAACTGTTGATGTGACAACTGTTGATGTGCCAACTGTTGATTTCACTACAAAAGTGGTCCTCCCGAGAGGGGCGATGGACTGAGTCAGCACCCCCCACCCCTTCCACCCACCCCTCCATGGAACAAAATTACTCATCCCGCTACACTCTGCGTCCACAGCGCCGACAACTCCGGCAGCGCCGTTTACGGACGGAGGAGCAGGAGGAGAGCCTCGCTATGGAGGTTGTTTCTCCCTCCCTCTCTCTCTCTCTCCCTCCGACTCTTTGCAATAAATGCGGCGACAGACCATTATAACATTCACCGCGGGTGGAGGGGATGCTGAAGCGTGCGGTTGCGAACCCGGCGACCCCCAGTTCGATCACGTCGGCGGCGAGTGTGAAGTTAATGTGCGAGAATAATAATAATAATCGGAATCACGATAATCATTTGAACTTGGAACGTGCCTCGCAGCGTTTGACTCGTAGAGAGATAGGGGGCTCAGAGGTGCGAGGAGCCACAGATAAGCGCGAAGGCAACCACGAAATGAGCTGGCGCCAACAATTGCCCGTGCTCTGCGGTCCTCTATCTATCACGGTGTTATCAGCCAATTCGGCATCAGACTATGTATTCATACTGGAGGAATCCGATGAGCAATGAAGCTCTTTTTTAAAACAGATGTCCAGCAGTTTTCACGGATGTCTCGCAGGGTGAGCGTTTCACGCGTGGGAGAAAAACGGAGCGCCACGAGAAAACAAACCCACGCGTTTGTGCGAGCGGGAAACACTCTATCCCACACAGACAGAATAGCTGCAGTCCGCGTTATTTGGCTGTAATCCAACGTCAGACCCAACAGTCTCCACCAGCGTCCCAGTGAGAAATGAAAGCCGTAGAGATATTAGGTTATGCCTGGCTACACGGAATTTCCCGTGCAACACGTAAACATTGAGTTGAGTTGAACCGGCGTCAAGAGGAAATTCAGAAGGCATTTAAAAACAATGATATTTCTTTCGTTCGTACGTCTGATGTAGATGCAAAGCAACAGCTACAATTTCACATTCAGGTGGTCAAGCCAGACAACCCCTATCTATTATCATAAAAATAAATACGAACAGATAGCGACACTAAAAAAGTTGGGACGAATGAATACAAAAGGCTGACCGCGGTTCATTGATAATCGCTTAAACGTCTAAATCGCTGCCCCTATTAAAGTAATTATTTCGCAAGAATATTCTTTATCTCCTCGATTATATGCGTAAAAAAACTTCACCACGCATATTATCTTACCATTTTACTATTACTGCATGGAAAAAAGAACAGATTAATTGTATTACTCCCGGTAGATGAAGGTCGTGAGAAGATCGTGTATACGATGATAGCTGCTGTCTCTTATTTACAGCGTGTGTGGGCCGCAATTAGCACGAACGTCGCTGTATAAAACCACATCATTCTTCAACTAAATGATTTCCCGCTGCAGAGCTTCGAACGGGTTCGATCTACTCGTGCGAGGAGTACAAAACACATATAAATCAGTGGCTTCACATCCGCTCCATGTGCCCGTAACTAGACTCGAGCATCAGTGGCGAGACAGGCGAGGCACACTCGCACCTGGGTGAGCTCTTCTGGAAAGACTCCGCCTGTTTCACCTGCAGGCCGACACTTTCCAGGTGTGACCAGTGGACTCCTCTGGACTTATTCATTTCTCCTAACTTCGTGCACGGCGCACTGAGATCCCTGGATCATTTGCGCCTTATAAATGTGAATAATAATAATCGTCAATACAGGTTTTTTTTCTGGGTTAGATCGCGTAAATATATCAATGTGTGTCGTTAAACCCGCCACCACCCGACACAGCCAAATAGTAAGGTCTGTCACGTAAACAGAACGTGGCCAATTCGTCACTAGCACAGCACACCGGTGTGTTGGAGAGCAAAGCCACAACATTTTTTTAAATCCGAGTACGACGTTTCTCCAGTAAGTATGACTAGCTTCATCAGGCGACAGCCAGATTTGTGGAGAATTGGCACGTTCCGTTCACGTGACAAACCTGACTAATTAGCTGTGTCGGGTGGTGGCGGGTTTAACGAAACAGATTTATAATGTATTTACGCGATCTAACCCCCCCCCCCCCAAAAAAAAAAACCCTGCATCGTGGGTGACATTGGTCGCGAAAGCATACTGCGTGTTAAAGTTAATCAAAATAATAATAATAAGAGTCATTATTATTATAATAATTATGGAATAATTTACCCAGCATCTTGACGGTCTGCCGATGGGACGAGTCCCGCGTGGCCATGCAGACCCGGCGAGCGGCGCGCCTGCGGCAGCGCTTCCTGCGGCCCAGCTCCCTGCCGATGAGCGAGTAGAGAACGCTGAGACACAGCACGGGCATGAAGAAGTAGATCGTGGACACCCACACCATCACGTAGAGGAGGCCCGACGTCTCGGCGTAGCGCGTCTGGCGGCACACGGCCGAGACGCCGTCTCTGGGTCCACCGCCGTCGCCACCGCCACCCAGCCCGGTGGTGTTTTCGAACTCCACGCCCACGACGGCGAACACGGGGCCCGCGCTCAGAGCGGCCACGCTCCACAAGAGGCAGATGACCCGCGCGACCCTCCGCTTGGTGATGACCACCTTGGCCTTGAGCGGAAAGCACACGGCGAGGTACCGCTCCACGCTGAGCGCCGTGATGTGCAGGATGGTCGCGTAGGTACAGCACTCGCTCGCGTACTGGAACCACTTGCAGATGAGGTCGCCGAAGATCCACGGCACGAACTGCCAGATGCGGAACAGGTCGAAGGGCATGCACAGGAAGATGCAGATGTCCGACAGCGCCATGCTGGACAGGTAGAGGTTGGTGGTGGTGCGCATCACCTTGAAGCGCGTCACCACCAGGATGGTGAGGACGTTGCCGGCGACACCGACGGCGAAGAGCAGCAGGCAAGCGACGGTGATGGCGCTGAGGACGGGCACCGGGAAGAGGGCCCCGGGGAGGGTGCCGTGCTGAGTCGCCGCGGAGTCGTCGGAGTCGTCGGCGTCGTTCGAGAATTCGTAGAGGTCCGTGAATTGGCGTGGATCTCCCGTGCCGTTGGCGGCCGTGCCGTTGAGTGGAAGCTCCATGCTGCTGCTGCTGTTTTGATGAAGATGATGATGCTGTTTTGATGAAGATGATGTTGCTGCTGCTGCTGTTTTGATGAAGATGATGCTGTTTTGATGAAGATGATGTTGCTGCTGCTGCTGTTTTGATGAAGATGATGCTGTTTTGATGATAATGATGCTGTTTTGATGAAGATGATGATGCTGTTTTGATGAAGATGATGTTGCTGCTGCTGCTTTGATGAAGATGATGCTGTTTTGATGATGATGATGCTGTTTTGATGAAGATGATGCTGCTGTTTTGATGAAGATGATGCTGCTGCTGCTGTTTTGATGAAGATGATGCTGTTTTGATGAAGATGATGCTGTTTTGATGAAGATGATGCTGCTGCTTCTGTTTTGATGAAGATGATGCTGTTTTGATGATAATGATGCTGTTTTGATGAAGATGATGCTGCTACTGTTTTGATGGAGATGTTGCAGCTGCTGCTGCTGTGTTTTTATGAAGATGATGATGATGCTGTTTTGATGAAGATGATGTTGTTGCTGTTTTGATGATGCTGCTGCTGCATTGATGAAGATGTTGCTGCCGTTGCTGTGTTTTGATGATGATGCTGCTGCTTTGATGAAGCTGCTTTGATGAAGATAATGCTGCTGCTGGAGTTTGATGATGTTGCCGTGTGTCTCGTTCGCTGGCTGTCCCCCGGTATCGGTCCGTCTCTCTCCTCTCTCTCCCCTCTCTCTCGCGTCCTTAATGATTACTAACAGCTGCGGCAATTGACTAACGACAAACGCCGAGACTGATGTACTAGATATTTAAGTATTACACCAACACCACCGCCATCCCCACCGACACCACGACCACCAAGCAGATCCATCAGTGCTGGCGTCTTATCGCGCTGTTCAAGTCAAGGAAAGCTGTCCCGTCGCCTGCACGCTGACCTTCGTCTTTTCTCGCTAACACACACACACAAAAACACATCCTATGCAGTGTATAAAGACGCGCATCGTCCCTTGTCCCTCCGTGATGCGCACGGCCGCGCTGTTTTCACGCGATGTCTTAAGACGACGCTTTTGCAATTTAAACGCGGTGATAAATACAAATCGAAATGAAAAGTGTACATCGCTCACTCTCTCTCTCTCTCTCCCTCTCTATCTATCCTACTTTGAATCTTTCACGCACACACACACAAATCAATCAATCTGGCTGCATAAGCGGAAAGCACGAAGCTCATATCGCCCGGACAGTTTTCATCATCATCATCATCACCTCCACCACCACCATAATCATCACCATCACCGCAATCATTCCTGCGCCGAGCGATCGCGCCTCGGGTTTCACTTCAGCCGAGGAGTCGCCGCCGCCGCTCTGTTCGCCGAGAGAGTGGGGGAGGGAGCCATGCCCTCGGTTGGAGGTGTGGATCGGGGAGGAGGAGGAGTGGTGGTGGTGGTGGTGACGGGGAGGGGAGAGTCTTATAACGGTTGTCAGGATTACGGTGATTCATAAACGTGCGGGGAGCGGTGTCTCAGCGGTTAGCGCTGCGCTACGAACCCGGCGAAACCCCCGGGTTCGACTCCCGCTCACGGCCAACGCCAGTGACGATTATTCTGAAACGGGCCTGGGTCTCCCCTAGGTCGACTCAGCCTCAAATAAACGAGTACCTGGTGGCGATGTGTAAACAAAAATAAACATCGCCGGGCTTGATGCTGGCCACCCCCTACCCCCTCGTGTACCGTGCCGGCCTTCACAGGTGCTGTTCGCTAACAGCACTTGCCCCTACTGTCTGTTAAGGCTACACAGGGGGGGGGGGGGAGGGGGGGGTCTTTGTCTTTGTATAAACGTCGACTCGTTTAAACAGCCGTCAATTGGCAACATTGAGCGGTTGTGACATGCCCACCGTGATCATGTCACAGCCATATTTTTAATTTTTTAAAATTTTAAAATTGTAATCCACTGCTGGATGTGGGGCCCTCACCACGCCTGCGACTGGCCCTGACGGAACGACGTTTTTGTAAATGTCCTGGGCCCCCCTGCCTATTACCCCGCCCCTCCCCTCCTTCTACCGCTCCCCCCCCCACCTGCCCCCCCCCCCCCACCGGGCCCCCACAACCACGGCCCAGAGGAGCAGGCTAGGAGGGATTATTTGTGGAGCGTGTTGCCCCAAGGGCTGGGGAGACCCTGGGGAAGAATCAAGTTGGGATGCTCACCAGGTGAGGCAGCGGTGTCTCGATCCAGTGAGTCTCAACCTAGGGTGAGCCCTCCCCCCGCCTTGTTGAATATTCTTCAAACCAAGCACCCCCTACCGCCCCCCCTTGCCCGACTCTGGGGCCGTCCATAAATGACGTCACTCGATTTTTTTTTACGATTTTTGACCCCCCCCTCCCTCGTCACACGGCGTCACAAAAAGGCAGACCCCCCCCCCTCAAATATGACGTCACAAAGCTCTGCCCCACCCCCCCCCAAATCGTATTTCCATTTTGAAAATTAAAACATGCTTCAAATCGCTTTAAACTATTGTCATTGTAGTGCGTGTTTAACGTGGCGCTGCACTCTGATGTTGTAGGAGTGTTGTTATAACAATTAGTGGTTTCATAACAATTCTATATTTATTTAAAGTTGCGCATTTTTATTTGACGTCACATTTCTCAACCCCCACCCCCCCTCGTCACACATCCTCACAAAAATCTGACCCCCCCCCCCCTTAGGTGCGTGACGTCATTTATGGACGGCCCCTTACTTCTCCAACACACAGCCGGTGGGCGCCGAACTGGTGACGAATTGGCGCGTGTTTTTTTTTGGTTTCACGTGGCAAAAACCTTTTTTTACACGTTGTCTGCGTCGGGTTTAACGATGCGCGTTTATATTTACGCGATCTAACTCAAACGACAACAAAAACACACCCCCTCAATTATTGACGAGTGTACTCATACACGTGGCATTTGCTATGCGTGTCGGTTGGCCCAATCCAAGTGGCTATCCAGGCTCAAACCTTGCTCAGCTTCCCACACGAAGTGCTATCCCCGAGTGATGATGGACCGAGTCAACCTTCCCCCACCACCACCACCACATCTCATCGGAGTTGAAGTCGAACGCTGCTGATTGCGAGGCACTCGCTCAACCCCTGAACGGCCTGGCCGGTTATTATTTAAACGGCGTGATGACACAGGGGATAAAATGGCCTTGTGTTATTTTTTTCTCTCTCTCTCTCTCTCGCTCTCCTCCCGCTTCCCCTCATCCTCCCCCCCCCGCACCACCTTTTTAAAATTCACAAATCTATTGTGCACTCATTCCCAATTACTATAAAAAAAATTAATTATGCGCATGACTAATCGGTGGCATAGGTGCCCATTAAAGGAATTCTCGCAGGTATTGACCGGTGACGAGTCACCTGGCACGTGACATTGTGCCATCGGTGCTAAGTCTCGTGTATAGAAAGTGTCAAATCGTGCGTCATACACACACACACATAAATAAATACGGATTGCATTTCACGCCTCGCTAATTGATATTGAATTCCTGACATTTGGCTGCTGGCTTGTTTCACCCGCCCCACGGCGTCTCTTCTCGACCCACAAAGAAGACTTCGTGATCTTTTACAGCCCCTAAGCGGTTTTTGTTGGGTGGAAATTCCACATTCCCATGGCGGAGGCCAGTCTATCCGAATGACGACCACCATTTACTTACCCACTCTCCCATACTGAGTGTGCACTTCTGTGCACACAAATGTAACGACTCCAGGAGACGCTGCCTTTTGATGGTTCTTTATTGAAGACGCGTCCGCTTGATAGGCGAAGACCCAGACTCCAGCAGCAGCCCCAAGCCTCTCCTCTCGAACCCTTTTATCCCCAGCGGGGCCATCTCCCTTGGCCACGCCCCCTACTCTCGAATCCTGTCGCTGGCTCTCGATCCCTGATCCGCAATTGTCCCCTTCTGTCACTTAACCACAGCCTCCCCCATTCTCGATCCTTCTCGTAGACCTCCAGACCGTTCACCCTGTCTGGTCCCTTAACCCGTCATTACCCCCCTGTGGCCCCCCCTAGTCTCTTCCCATGCTAATTCCCCTGTCAGTACCCCCTCAACCAAAGGTCAAACACGATGTAACATCGACTCCCCCATACAATTTAAAATAGTTTACAGCCCTTTGTAAATTCACTGCTGGATGAAGACCTGCCTCCTGCCGTGTCTGCCATGGGAGTTGTTTGACCACTCTGGTCAGTTAATTTTGGGTACCCAAGAGTACCGGTGCAGATACCACACGCCACTGATGTTAGCCGTGGCCATGAATCAAACTCAGGTTGCAGGGGTTCATAGCGCAGTGGGCTAACCACTGCGCCACTGCTCCACACTAATATCATATAGGTTGAAAGCTCATTTCTTTAGAACTGTTTTAAGTGTTTCGTTTTTTCCTCCCACACTTCCGATGAGCACGGTTGACTATGTACGGTGCGAAAAAGCTCAAAGTACATACATAGACTCACAAAGAGACCCATAGACTCACAAAGAGACCCATAGACTCACAAAGAGACCCATACTCACACCGAGACCCATAGACTAACGCAGAGACCCATAGACTCACACAGAGAACCATAGACTCACACAGAGACCCGTATACGCACGCAGAGACCCATAGACTCACACCGAGACCCACAGAGACCCATAGACTTACAGAGACCCATAGACTCACACAGAGACCCATAGACTCACACAGAGACATACAGACTCACACATAGACCCATAGACTCACACATAGACCCATAGACTCACACATAGACCCATAGACTCACACAGAGACCCATAGACTCACACAGAGACCCATAGACTCACACTGGGACCCATAGACTCACACAGAGACCCATAGACTCACACAGAGCCCCATAGACTCACAAAGAGACCCATAGACTCACACAGAGACCCATAGACTCGCACAGAGCCCCATAGACTCACACAGAGCCCCATAGACTCACACAGAGACCCATAGACTCACACAGAGACCCATAGACTCACACAGAGACCCATAGACTCACACAGAGCCCCATAGACTCACACAGAGCCCCATAGACTCACACAGAGACCCATAGACTCACACAGAGCCCCATAGACTCACACAGAGACCCATAGACTCACACAGAGACCCATAGACTCACACAGAGCCCCATAGACTCACACAGAGACCCATAGACTCACACAGAGACCCATAGACTCACACAGAGACCCATAGACTCACACAGAGACCCATAGACTTACACAGAGACCCATAGACTCACACAGAGACCCATAGACTCACACAGAGACCCATAGACTCACACAGAGCCCCATAGACTCACACAGAGACCCATAGACTCACACAGAGACCCATAGACTCACACAGAGACCCATAGACTCACACAGAGACCCATAGACTCACACAGAGACCCATAGACTCACACAGAGCTCCATAGACTCACACAGAGACCCATAGACTCACACAGAGACCCATAGACTCACACAGAGCCCCATAGACTCACACAGAGACCCATAGACTCACACAGAGACCCATAGACTCACACAGAGACCCATAGACTCACACAGAGACCCATAGACTCACACAGAGCCCCATAGACTCACACAGAGCCCCATAGACTCACACAGAGACCCATAGACTCACACAGAGCCCCATAGACTCACACAGAGACCCATAGACTCACACAGAGACCCATAGACTCACACAGAGCCCCATAGACTCACACAGAGACCCATAGACTCACACAGAGACCCATAGACTCACACAGAGACCCATAGACTCACACAGAGCCCCATAGACTCACACAGAGCCCCATAGACTCACACAGAGACCCATAGACTCACACAGAGCCCCATAGACTCACACAGAGACCCATAGACTCACACAGAGACCCATAGACTCACACAGAGACCCATAGACTCACACAGAGCCCCATAGACTCACACAGAGACCCATAGACTCACACAGAGACCCATAGACTCACACAGAGACCCATAGACTCACACAGAGACCCATAGACTTACACAGAGACCCATAGACTCACACAGAGACCCATAGACTCACACAGAGACCCATAGACTCACACAGAGCCCCATAGACTCACACAGAGACCCATAGACTCACACAGAGACCCATAGACTCACACAGAGACCCATAGACTCACACAGAGACCCATAGACTCACACAGAGACCCATAGACTCACACAGAGACCCATAGACTCACACAGAGACCCATAGACTCACACAGAGACCCATAGACTCACACAGAGACCCATAGACTCACACAGAGACCCACAGACTCACACAGAGACCCAGTTTGTTTTTCTTCACACGCACTTCCGATCAGCACGGTTCGCTACGTACGGTGCGACATACATTGCGTCTCAAGTCCATGCTCCCCGCCTTCGCGAACCCGTACAGGGCCAGCGTTGGAAAGAGTATTCATCATCATCCTTATAATAATCATATTTGCGTGTATATGGCGCTTAAATGCCTTAGAAACTCCAAACGCGTCTGGCACATCACAACTCAAGCGTACCAAGTGCACCCCCCCCCCCCCCCCCCGTGGCAGCACCTGAGACACTGGTAGTGAGACACTGGTGGTGAGACACTGAGACACTGGTAGTGAGACACTGGTACAGAGACACTGGGTAGTGAGACACTGGGTAGTGAGAGACTGGTGGTGAGACACTGAGACACTGGTAGTGAGACACTGGTACAGAGACACTGGGTAGTGAGACACTGGGTAGTGAGACACTGGTAGTGAGACACTGGTGGTGAGACACTGAGACACTGGTAGTGAGACACTGGTACAGAGACACTGGGTAGTGAGACACTGGGTAGTGAGACACTGGTGGTGAGACACTGAGACACTGGTAGTGAGACACTGGTACAGAGACACTGGGTAGTGAGACACTGGGTAGTGAGACACTGGTGGTGAGACACTGAGACACTGGTAGTGAGACACTGGTAGTGAGACACTGAGACACAGGTGGTGAGACACTGGGTAGTGAGACACTGGTAGTGAGACACTGGTAGTGAGACACTGAGACACAGGTGGTGAGACACTGGTAGTGAGACACTGGGTAGTGAGACACTGGGTAGTGAGACACTGGATAATGAGACACTGGGTAGTGAGACACTGGATAGTGAGACACTGGGTAGTGAGACACTGGGTAGTGAGACACTGGTAGTGAGACACTGGGTAGTGAGACACTGATAGTGAGACACTGGTAGTGAGACACTGGGTAGTAAGACACTGGGTAGTGAGACACTGGTAGTGAGACACTGCTATTGAGACACTGGTGGTGAGACACTGGGTAGTGAGACACTGGTAGTGAGACACTGGGTAGTAAGACACTGGGTAGTGAGACACTGGTAGTGAGACACTGCTATTGAGACACTGGTGGTGAGACACTGGGTAGTGAGACACTGAGACACAGGTGGTGAGACACTGGTAGTGAGACACTGGTGGTGAGACACTGGGTGGTGAGACACTGAGACACAGGTGGTGAGACACTGCTAGTGAGACACTGGTAATTAGCACGCAACACAGTGGCGGAACACATTCTCCTGCGGAGGGAGCTGGTAGTAGGGACGTTGGGTTGCTCGGTCAATGGTCAGGGTCAACGGCGGACACCACGTGGTGGTGTATTCCGCAAATATGCCCGACTGTGAGGGCGGGCACAAGCCGGCGTGAGTAGGTGAAACGTTGAGTTTTATAAGGGCACCACGGGGTGACCAGCCCCTCCCCACCCTCCCCACCCAGCCCCACCCCTCCCACCCCCCACCCAGCCCCTCCCCACCCTCCCCTCCCCACCCAGCCCCTCCCTCCCCACATACAACACGTGCAGTCGCTACGGGCCCCGCACTTTCAAGGGCCCCACGCTAAATAATTTCAAGCTATCAATTCCCCTTCGGTGATTCTGCACTTGCTCCATTACTATAGTATTATACCGCCTTAAACTTTTACGAACGACTGGGTGTTTAATGTTAGCGATTTGTCGTATTATCTGGCCGTATAGCAAATGCAAAAAATAGAATTAGTTTACTGTGCAAGTTAAACTTTCGTGTGTTTTAATATTTATATGTTTAAAAAAATGTAAGGACCCCTTTATAACATCATGCTACAAGGCCCCTGCGCTAGCTTAATCCGGCACAGGCAAAACACAAACACACAAAGTCAACTCACAACCGCCGCAGCGGACACATTCGTAGACGGCGATTAAAAAAAAACAATTATAAGTTTGATTGCATGTATATTTTTAGATAACATAGCGTTATAAATTTCGAATGTAAAACGTGTTGCCTGCTCAAAAGTATACAGCGTCCCTGTGAATGCAGCAGGGAGGGGCCCAGCACTAGGGGAGGGGGAATGGGGGAAAGGGCAGGGGGGGAAAGGGGAGGGGAGAAGGGGGGGAAAGGGGAGGGGGGGAAGGGGGGGAAAGGGGAGGGGGGAAAGGGGGAGGGGAAAGGGGAGGGGGAAAGGGGAGGGGGAAAGGGGAGGAAGGGGGGAAAGGGGAGGGGGGAACGGGGGGAAAGGGGAGGGGGGAAGGGGGGGAGAGGGGAGGGGGGAAAGGGGGAAAGGGGAGCGGCAAAGGGGAGCGGCAAAGGGGAAAGGGGAGGGGGGGGAAAGGGGGAGGAGTTACCGTGGCTTCCGTTCGGCGCTGACCTCACATGCCGCGGCGATAATTTTGTTGTATTTGCTCGTCTTAGTCGTCGTTATCGTGAGGTAAACAGCAACAACAACAACAACTTTGTTGTCGTCATTATTATTGTTATTATTATAAAAAAAACCACAACCGTTCTTCAAACTCAAAGGTGCGATGGCGGAAAAGGGAGATTTGGACCTCACCGGCGCTAAACTCAATCGCGGCCTGTGGCTCGTGAAGGTAACACAACACGCTAGCGTTCACTTCCCAAACCATCGCACTCATCACCACCACCACAGGAAAGGGAGCCACGATCTATCAACTGCTGGATGGCGTCGTCCCTCCGTCAAGCCCTCGCGACACGCGCAAACATCTCGCGTAAGCGCGCTGCGAGACGAGCCCCCGGTGCCATGTCTCGCGTCTCCCCTCGGGCGCGTAGAGCTTGCAAATAGCACAACATCGGAGTAGTAGGAGCAGTAGCAGTACCCATCGATCAACCCGCTGGTGGAAATTCCACGTTCTTGTGGACGGGGCTTTGTCCCGTCCGCCGTCCGAAGAAGCGAAGTGGGAACGCCGAGGCGTTGGCGTTGTCGGCTTGAGGCCTAGGTCAGGCTCGCCCCGCGTCTTTGTCGTTGTTTTTTTATTAATAAAAACTTTAAAAAACGAGCCGAGTCAAGGGATTTACGTGATATTTACCGATAGAACCAAAGAGTATGTCTGCTCGTCAGTTTTGAAGGTTTACATGACGGTATTTTGTGTGAGGTGGGGGGGGTTTCTGCGTAGAGTTCTTGATCTTAATAGCGCTCGCATCGTAACAAATGGATACGTTGCAGTACAAGTGCGTACTGTAACTTATCATTGAGTAAAGATCGCGAATGGCATTGAGTCTCTCGTCTTAGTTAACTAAAAACAATTACATTGCATCTATGGTTAAAGACTAATACGTAAAACTGGATTACGCAGAGGGTCAAATATTGGATATTGCTTGGATGGGAGGCCGTGGATTGTTATAGTTTGCTATGGGGCTTACGTTGTTAGCGGCAAACTCACCATTTTGCTGTACTGCACTTCAATGCTCCTCATTCAGTTCGCAATGACCAGTGTGGGGAAGTATGGTCAACTAACCCCAGCCATCCGCACTGCGTGGGGGGCTGGAGGTTGGTGTGGGGGGCTCTCATCCAGCAGTGGATTGACACAAGAACAGGCCATGCACAGAACAGCACACGCTGGCTACAAATTGATCTCGTAGTGCAATACAATAACAATTGATTATGCGGCATAGATTATGAATGAATGAAGTGTTGTAATATTGATAATGGTAATGTTTTGCTTTTACTCCCGCTTGGTTTAACAACTGAGCAGGGTTGAACCTGGTTAACGTTTGGATGGACCACCATTGCATAATCTGTCGCTTATAGGCTGTAGTGGGGCTTTGTTAGTATGCCCGTTTCATCACCTACATAAGCCTCACTTGAGTCTGTGAACCTTTTGCAGGAGGGTCCTGCCAGTCTTTTATATTGGTGGGATGATTGCAATGTGTCATCCCAGTTGAGCAATTCGGAGGTGATATTTCAGATGTGGCAAATTTTGACCATGATGCCAGCATACAATGGCCTACTCATACGGTTAATACACCCGCAGTGTTAATTGGGGCTGCCAATGAATTTGAACCGTGAACCTCTGCAGCAAGTGGCAGTGAAGGCAATGATGGTGTGGTCACGATACAACAATGTATTCGTTGTTTTTGGGAGTTCAATGTAATACCATAGGGGCAGTGTCTTGGTCGGCATTTCTCTTTGGGAGTAATAATGTGCGTAGTGTGAAGCTTGTATTGCTTGCTAACTCTGGATATTTGTTTTGCAGGTTCCAAAATATCTCTCTCAACAGTGGGGCAAAGCCACTGAGCGAGGTGAAGTCGGCAAGCTGAAAATTTCCAAGTAAGAGTGATATTAAGTCTCTAATAAACAACCACGCTCTCTCATACAGGAATATAAGCGTAAAAATGCATTATTTTCTGCGGCATTGCTTATTATAATAATCATCATTATTTGTATTTAGTGTTCATGTTCCTCGTACGGATGGCCCCAATCTTTTTGTGGGTTACTTCCAATAATACAAAAAGAGTGCTTGACGGACCAAGATACATTTTTAGTTTGATCCCAAAGTATGACACTGCAGTTCCCTTCCAGCGATATATCGCTTGGCAACATGTGATGATGGATGCCACTTAATGTTCGTACGAGGACACGTTAAACTTATTAAATTCATGTCAGTTTTCCGAACATTGGAATAAAGATGTATGCGTGTCCTTAAAAATGAGACAATCCGAAATCTGAAACTCATCCCTAGGGCATCCGTGTGGGCTCGTCTTTGTGTGCTTGTGTGCATTTATGTACGTGTATTTTGTGTTACCATTCTTTTGTTTTGTTGCGTTTAGACGTGTTTTTTGTTTACGTGTGTATGCTTTATGAATGCGCATGTGTTCGCAGTGCACATGCATATGTGCATGTTTAATGTCAAACCATAAACTTGAATGAAAATTGACAATTTATCATGTTTGTGGCTGGAAAATCTAAACATTTCCACTCCTGCTGCATATAGTATATATGTCTGTAAACACGTTCATGTACTGTCTGTGCGCATGGTTACTCTGACAACTGAAATTTGCCTCGTAATAGGATGAATAAGAGGTTGGATGTTGGGACAAATTGACCCATGATAATAGGATTTGGCCATAAGATGGCCGGGAATAAAATATGCTTCACTGTGCATTTGTGTTTTACCTTTGGTGTTTGCGCTTGCGTTAGGTGTGTGTATTATTTACTATTTTTTTACCAGGTAAGGCCCACTGAGCTATACAGCTCTTTTTCAGAAGCGACCTGGCCACACATCATAGCACAACGAAGTAGCTCATCAGGTGGAAATATATAGCAGCCAAATATTCTAAACGCATGTTGATTCTAAATGTGGTTGTAAAAAGCGGAGAAAAATCCATGTGATCATGGGGAGAACTTGAAAACTCCAAATATACAGGTGCCGGGGTTGGGTTCGAACTAGGCCTCGCCAAGGTAAGGTTAAAGGTAAAAACAACGAGCCTACCTTTTACCTTACCACAATACAATCACTCTACTCTACCTTTTACCCTTCAGCAGGTAAGGTAAAAGGTTAAAAGCAACGAGCCTACCTTTACCCTACCTTTTACCCTTACCCCATACAAATTTCCCAATTACAGAGTAATTACTGGGGTACTACACATGAAAAAGGTTTATAACAGGTAAATGCTAGGTAGAGCGCTTTATTCATATAGAATACTCTCGATTATTCCAATTTTACACGCTTTCTTTTAACTCTGTTGTTGTTGTATCCTCAAATCTTGTAACTAAATTTAACCCACTTCCCAATCCGGTATCGACTGCAAACTTGGTATACTTATGTCATACTGATGACAATACTATATTCTATCATTAAAAAGAAAATATATATTTTTAAACATTTTTTTATGTTATGTTTTGGCTTGGGTCTAATTGTCCACTGTCAACTGACGTTGGCTGTTATTGGCCACGGTCCCTTACGTTATGGCAAGCTTCGGGGCCACTTCCTGGGATCGTGGAGTTCTGCCATTACTCGTCCATTTCATAAAAGCGTGTTTTTAAAAAAGTAAAAAAAATATTACTTGTTAAATGGAGGCCACGGACTGCGCCACTGTGCTTTTAGCGGTAAACAAGGCACCGTATTTATTGGGTAATCGCGCTACCTTTACCCTACCGGGTAATTCTTCTGAGCTACCTTAACCCTACCCTTTACCTTACCCCTTGGCATGTCGACACCTTTACTCTTTACCCTTTTACCCGGTAGAAAGGGTAAATTACCTTACCTTGCCGAGGCCTAGTTCGAACTCACGACCTGTATACCAGGCGAGGTAGTTAACACCTCGCCACCGCGGCACATGTGTATGTTGAATGTCTGCGTGCTACGTATGGGCATGTATATGTGGACTGGTGACGAACAGCTGTTTACCAAACATCTTGTCTGTGCGTGCCTCATTCGCTGAGTTGACTTCAACAACATTTAAAAAAAAACGCGTTTATCTGGAATAAAAAGCCAGAATCCTGAAAAAGTCTGGCATTCCTTGGTCAAGGAACCGTACGAGCATCATTACCGCAATATCCGTTAACGAGCGATATCAAAAGCAGCCGCAGTCAGGAGAGAAACAAGGGATTGTTGAGTAAATAAAATGTAGTCTTACTGGCACACTCGACCTTGTAGCTCTAATTGGCCCACAACCACCAAATTGCATTATGCGATGAGGGTGGGAGTTCATTTTCAAGAGCCTTTTTTACGGCTTAATGAATCTTCCATTTGCGTTTACCACCATAATATAAGTGGTTCTTAATTTTAATTACTAAAGAGCTCACGCTATTTTTGTTGTTCTTTGCTTTTTTTTGCAGGGGACAAGGAAAGACCGAGGTGAGGATTAATATAGTATTTATAATGCCATTACATCATGATCAACGTCACGTATAACGACTCCAATCACCGATTCGCAGCGGGAGGCATCATCACAGCGGTACATTGAACAAAATTATATGGTTCAACCGCCTCAGTGTAAAACTATCGTTGCAGCTCTGCATCACAACATCAGCCATATATGAAGATCATTATCAGCCACGGGCAATATGCTGCTGGATGAAGGCATTATAATATTATTTACACGTATAAAGAGACGGAGCAGCTTCACTGAGAACGTGTAAACAAAGCAACAGAATGCAAATCAGAAGAGGCGCGAGGCAAGGAGACGCACTCACCAAGGCCGTTCACAGTGACACTATAAGATATTTTTTGTTTTAATTAGATAAATGCATAAATATAAATGGTGAACGCATTAACTCGCGGATTTTCTGGCGGCATAGCCATTAAGATGTTAGTCACGTGACAGCAGTTGTGCTGTACATCTCTCCCGCGTGGTTTTCGGGCTCTTCTGCGTGCTCTTTGTCGCGATACCCCGACGTTTCGCTCCACGTGCCGGGAGCTCCTTCGGGGACTGAATGCGTCGACCGACGTATTCTCGAGTTTTACGGCACATTGATTGACACGATGTCCGACTTGCGAGTGAAATGTCGGGGGGAGCTGTGCACGTGGTCTATCTACTTTGCGTGTCAATCTTTCAGCCTGCGCTCTGCTCGCTTGTGGATCGCGTGTGCTGCGCGGACGGACACCGCACACACACACACACGCCGCGCGCGTGTTCTTCACGCGAATGTGCCACGGGAGCGGGTTGTCTCCTCAAGCAGTCGTGCGCCGAGCGTTCTTTGTACGTTTCATTTGGGAAGGCGAGCAGGAATGAAATGTGGCCTGTCTAAGGGTGAAGTGCTTAATGGGTTTGGCTTTTTGTTGATGTGCAAAAGAAAAAAAAAATCACTCATCCTCTCTCTCGCCCAGGTGTGTGTGTGTGTCAATCCAGTGCTTGTCTAAGGCCTCCCTCCCCACGCCCCGTGTGGGCCGTAGGGATAATTTGACCGCACAGTCATCTCGATATAGTAATGGTTGTTTATTTAAGGAAAGCCAGAGGAGGATCCTGCATTGGGGATGTTTGGCGTGTAACAGTGACTATGGGAGGAAACCGCGTTGCACTACAGAAACGAGTCTTGTATTCCCCTGCGTCTCAGATTGGACGTCGTCAAAGCTTTCATTCTACCTGTGTTTGGCCTGCTGTGATGTCATCTGCAGACCGACCTCGGAGACTGTCCTAAACTGCTTGGGCCCCCTGTACCATGCACCCCTTCGTTTTGCACCGGGCGCGCCGCACACAAACACAATCTGTACTGTTTAACTCGTAGGCTTTCAAGTTGTAAATGTTTTGGATTTACTCTCCAACACACCGGTGGGATGAAGTAGTAACTAATTAGCACGTTGTTTACGTGACAAATCTTACTGGCTAAACGTCTGTTATAACCTCACCCCCCCCCCCCCCCCCATAGTAATCAGGAGACGGGTATCATTGCCCCATCGTTGCGCTATCATTTGTGGCCGGGTCGCTTCTGAAAAAGAAGCTAATAGGTCGGTGGGCTTTTCCTGCTAAAATAAAAATAGTTTAGTTTTTTTTATTTGTTGGTGATTTGCTTACCTTTCCTGTACTTTTCACTTCTGTTGTGTTTTTGTATTGTTTCTCGTAACTTTCTGTGTTTAGTTTATTGTCCTTTCCCCCTGCCGCCCCTCCGATTAGCGCGGTTGGCTACGTACGTACGGTGCGAAAGAAATCCAACGCACGTACATAAATACCGGACGTCTGTGAAAAAGACGTTTTGCGGCTCATTGTATTCCTCCGTCATAAAGAAATAATCTGATTTGCGCATCATACATCCTCAAAGTACTCCTCGACAAATCGGCTAATTACCCCATTGGCTGCCTCTCACTGCAGTCCTCATCGCCATCGTCTTGGCAGCGCCTCTCTTCGCCTCCTCCTCCTCCTCAATGCGCTCTGAGTGAGGTCCTCTCTCTCGCGTTGCCGCCCCGCTCGCTATTTTAACGAGCCCCCCTCTCCGCTGTTTCGGCTTAAATCTCCCCCCCCCACCCCTTTCTTGCCATTTTTAAATTCCTCAATTTGATATTTCCCTTTGGTTAGCGAACCGCCGCACGAGTTGCTGTTGTGTTTCTGTCTTACCTGCTGCCAGTGTTACTTAAGTGGTGCATAACTTAAATGTTTTTTTCCCCCTCCAATGTATTTGCTATTCATTGTTGGCAATGTTATAATTTATTATTGCTGCTGTCACTTCATTTGTTTCCCCCCCCCCCACGAAGGTCATCTGCAGGTGATTCTTGTAAAACAGCTGAAGGCTGAATGTTTCTTACCCACGTAAACTGATAAAATCAATCAAGGTCTCCTATCTCTCGTTCATCTCACCAATATGTATCTATTGTCTCTGGCTGTTCTCATCTCTGTCTCTTGTTTGTCTCAGTTATTTGTATCTCTTTACGTCTTGGCGAGCCACACATCTCTCAGTGGGGGGGGGGAGGGGACATAGCCGCTTCAGGTAACTTGGCCTCTCAAGCGGTAGGGAAGCAGTAAATCGCATTTAAAAAAAAGGCAATTTTGAAGACGCAAACAATACAAGACTTTGACTTCTTGGCAGTAATACATCTGGAGCATGGTTATCAAGCAAGCGTTTTATTCACAAGTTGACACTTAAGATTTAAAACGAGGTAGAGGTGCAGCCCTTGCAATTTCTCGCTCAGGCCAAAGAGAGGGCCTCCGCTAGAGGGAGCTATGGAGGGTCTACGGTCTACTCCTTCAAGCTGACCCGGCGTGTTGGAAGAGGTGGCAGCAGCCACGCTTTTGCCAAAACCTGCCAATTGGCTAACTGTGGTGTACCCATTGGGGCACCGCGGTGGCAAGATGTTAACTACCTCGCCTGGTATTTACATTATGAGACCTCCTTTGCCAGTAACAAGATATAGGAATATGTTTTACCCTTTTAACTGGCACAAAAACTGGCGTCTTCTGGTCCAACACCAATGGAGACTTGGCTCTAAGAAAAGCCGTCTCGGGTGTGGACCAATCAAATTCAAGGACAGTGCATATTATTATCAGAGTTGTTTTTTTTGTTTGCATTTTGACTGCTTGTGTTGTGGTTATTGCAAACATGATGCCTTGAATAAAGGTGTCAGTTTTTGTGCCAGTTAAAAGGGTTAAACCTATTCCTATACCTCGCCTGGTGTATACAGAGGTCGTGGGTTTGATCTCGACCCTGACGCCTGTATATTTGGAGTTTGCATGTCTCTCTTCCCATGGTATTGTGGTGTTTTTCTCTCCGGGTCCTCCGTTTTTTTTTCCCCTCGACATGTGGAATCAACGTGCGTTTAGAGTATTTGGCTGCTATCAATTTCCACATGATAAGCCACTATGTTGAGCGTTCATTTGTGGTCAGATGACTTCTGAAAAAGAGCTATATGTAGCTAAGTGGACCTTATCTGGTAAAATAAAAAAAAACATAGTTTCAATAGTTTATTTTAACTGCTGGGTGGACAAAGCCACGAAACATACCCCCGTTGTTTTAACTGCTGTGCCGGAAGATGGACTCGATCCGGTGACCTCTGCATTGCAGCGTGCTAGCTAATTGACACGTACGAACGTACGTGATGTTCACGGAGATGTTGCGCACGCTTGTGCCCATAGGCATCCCTTGGTGGTCTCGCTCGCTGTTTTCCTCAGGTCTCCTTTGTGCTGAGCGAGGAGCTGGCTGGGGGGGGAGGGGTCCAGGGGACGAGCACGAAGAGCACGGCCATCAATACCCCACGTGACCACGTGCTGGCCCTGCAGGGGGTTGCTGGGCAGAGTCTCGGTGTCTTCACTGAAGGCTCCTCTGGTACGGAGAGATAAATACAATGATTTTTTTTTAAATCGATTCTCGCCCCTTTTTGCCTAAGATCATGTTTTAGTATCTCCTGTTGTGTTTAGTTTGTTGTCCTTCCCCCCCCCAACCCACACCTCCGATTCGCACGGTTGGCTACGTACGCTGAGAAAGAAGCTCTACATACATACAAAATATATTGTATCGTGTCATTTGTGAAAAATGTCGCCTCAAAATGCCGTGGAGTTTGCAACGTGCACAGTCAGAACCAATGACAAACAAATGCCCAAGCTTTGTGGTCCTATATTTGTATGTTTGGCCAACTCCCATAAATGAGTGTTTATAAATATAGGAGGAAACCGGAGTGCCCGGAGAAAACCCACACGGTGCAAGGTGTGGGTTCATACTCATTCCCCCATCCAGACAGAAAACGAACCCACTTCGCTGTTCTGCCTTACCATGAAAGGCCAGGAGATGGCGACCTTCAACGCTCATGGGAAGTAGAGGGAGTCTCACAAATGTGAGCGACCCACCAACCCTCGCCTGCGAAAGTCCTGGCTCACAGGCGAGCGTAACCGCCCGTGCAGTGTGACCCATTGACGGCGATTGCGGAAGAGACCTGCTAATGCACACAAGTGTTTTAAAGGCAACCCATGCTCGCTTAATTGGAACGCTTTGCTTGTACGGCAAATGTCCTCGCTGAACGCATGGTGCTCAAACGGTAACGCGTGTTCGCATCAACGCGGTTCTTCTGTTGGGGCAACATTTTTGCGCACGATGTGGAACACGCGCACCGTTGTACAGCGGAATCGCGGATCGCGCTGCGTTACAATGTGAAACGTCGCACCGTTATAGCGCAGAACGCTGCACCGTTAAAACGCGGTTTCTGAGCGGTGCGGTGATACGGTATGCGGAATGATACAGTAACGCGGGGGGAGTACCCTCGGTTATTTGTCGCGCCATCTCGGCGCGTGCGTAGCAGTACATCGTATCGCGGCACATTTCGTCGTTGCATCGGTTACGGGGAAATGGTTTTCGCGCAACGCGTTTTTCGAGCGATGTGAAACGAGGAGTGACTGTGTACACTCTTGTATTCTACCCAACAGATGGCCACGCACGGTGAATTTGAGAATTAACTTTTTTTTTGCATTCACTTAATCGTTCTACTCTCAACAAAAGCTTACTCTCTGAACAATGAAATGTTGTGCTTGTGTAACACCACAGGAAAGCAGACGGATGCCACCTCGGGGAATGTAGTATATGGTAAGTACATGTATGTATTATTTAGAGGCCTTTTGAAGCAATTAAATTTACTAATCACAAACCTGTTTTATTTTTAACTAAACGTTTTATAATTTATGACTCGTATTCTGTTGCATTGACCGTTTTTAATTGTTTAAAAATGTACAGGTCCGCAATTTTTTAAAATGTTATCGTTAGTTATAACTGGCTTAATAGTCCAATTTGACCCACCTCTGGATGTTTAGTTTGGCTGTCAGAGAGAGACCCAGGAGCCAATTGACTCCTCAATCAGCTTCTTAGTACCAAACAGCATCTTGTATGCCAGGGCATGTGGGCGTCACGTGCTAAGCGGTAAACAAGTGTTTTTTGTGAAGAGCTGCAATGTGGGTAAATTTGCAGGTTGAGATGGATTCGCGATCGTAAAGTTGTCTTAATAATATCCCTGCCGAGATAAACTAAAAACTGTGGGTGGGCAGGTGTTGTCAATATTCCCACCACCCCCCTCCGTAGTTTCCTCTGCATGCTTGGGAAGATTATCTTCCGGTACAGCCAATACCGAATCATTACGAGCTTGCCTCTCCAAACACACTCAAACACCCTAAAATAAGAGGCGACCCAACAACTTGCATTAGCTGCGTCTCACGCGCTGTTACATGCACCGTGTGTAGCTGCAAAGTCAAGTACCCTAGGGCACACTTGCATTTCTGCGACTTATATTCCAACGATGGTGGCGGCTGGATTAATCATGAGCAATATAGGCCGTAGCTGGTCAGTCAGTGGTGAAGAATTCCAGGCGGGGTGGGAGGGAAAAATATAAACTAAATCTTGACCTAAAGCTTTCGTGACTGCAGGAAGATAGGTAAAAAAAATAATAACAAAAAATCTACGACGTTTCGATCGCAACACAAGCGGTCGTCATCAGGAAAAGGGGACGACCGCTTGTTTTGCGATCGAAACGTAGATTTGTTGTTATTTGCTTGGAACCTATCTACGTGACTTTACCGAAAGACACAAAGAATATATAAATTAAACGTTTTAATTTTTACCAGGTAAGGCCCACTGAGCTATTCAGCTCTTTTTCAGAAGCGACCTGGCCACAAATGATAGCTCAACAAAGTGGCTTATCACGTGGAAATGTCTAGGAGCCAAACACTCTAAATGCGTGACGTTGATTCTAAATGTGGAGGGATAAAACCGGAGGACCCGGAGAAAAATCCACGCGACCGCGGGGAGAACATGCAACCTCCAAACATACAGCAGGTGTCAGGGTCAGGATCGAACCCACGATCTCCTGTATGCCAGGTGAGATAGTTAACATCTCGCCACCGTGGTGCCCCTAAAAGATGGCTCGGATCCCGCGGCATCAACTCGATAGCGTTGGTAAAGTGAGCATTTGCCCGGTGAATTTGCGGCACACCATTGGGATCTCACAGTGGTTGCATTTTATGTAACGTGGGTTCTGTCCATAGGAAAGTGGAATTTGCACCAATGGCTCGATATTTTCGAAATGAATACCCTTCATCGCTCCGATAACAACATTGTCACTCGGGAGTTGCATTTCAGAAAGGACTTTGTGTCTTTTTGTAACGTAGGTTTTAGTTTTGATATAATTGTTGCCTTCTTACAATTTAAACGACTCGCTTTTTGTAATTTTTAAACAGCTCTGTTGAATTTGAACGTTTCTAAAAATTGCAAGTGCTTCCTATGACCGTCATCAGGACAATGTTATTAAGCATCTCCGAAGAGACAATGGTCGAAGCCCCACGTAGCAACTGAGGGTGCAGAAGGTTATACTCGATATCGGTTCTGTGGCAGATGGCATTGTGATGTTGGCTTTTGTGCCCGGCAATTACGTCCTGCTTCCGTGAGATGTCCCCTGTACCACGGAGGAGACACGGGGGTGTGATGAGTAGGGTTCATGACATGGGACAGCATGGAAGACAACAAGGCAATGATTATGCAAATTGCATTGAGTTTTTCAGCAGTAATAGGATAATTACGCAACACGACAGAGATGAAATTGGTTACATAATAATACATAACACCGCAGAGAATTGTGGAACAAAGACCGGGAAGTGCACAGATGCTGGAAAATATGCATGCCTGGAATTACGTTGAGTAACAGAAAGAGGAGCAAGTGGATTCGAGCAGTTAAGTTGTTTATTTGTCTAATTTTAGATAAACTTTTCTTGGAGGGAGTCGTGGTCCAGCGTGCTGACTGCAGGCCCGTTGTTGGAGAATCCTACATGAAAATGAAAAGGTTTGAGAAATACGTATTTTTAACTTTCTGCCAATTTCAAGCGCGATTTAAAACTGGGAAAAACCCCGCTTGGTATAATTTCACGTCAAGGCAGAGGTGAAACCTTGAGCTTGAGGTTCTTCATCGGTGCTAAATATCCACACACGCACGTAAACATTGATACCCGGGGACCGTGAGAGGTGGTGTGACGACTTTGGGGTGGCGTTCATCCAGCATTGGATTGATCATGGCTGATGATGATGATATGTGTGTGTGTCCATTTGAAAGCGAGTTTACTTGCTAAAGTTTTTATGTTTATAAATGTGAGTGAGTAGCAGGTAAACCTTTAAATTGCGTTGTGTCCAGGGTTCTTTGCCTTTCGGAATTATAGAACGCCTACAATTGGCGTTTTGTGTGCGCCGCCTGCCTGCCTGCTACGTTGTAGAAAATGCAACGTGTTTGCCCGTAACACTGTCCTAAAAGTAAAAATTATATAACAGGCGTCATTTCAGGCAATAGCTCTTCGTCGTCATGCAGAAAGCGGCTAGAGTGTCTCTATGCCTCTATGCGGTGGCGGGATGTTAACTACCTCGTCCTTCTATACAGGAGGTCGTGGGTTCGATCCCGACCCTGAAGCCCGCTGCTGTATATTCGGAGTTGGCGTGTTCCCCCCATGGTCACGTGGATTTTTCTCCCGGGTCCTCCGGTTTCCCTCCACATTTGGAATGAACATATTTGGCTGCGAAACTGTTTCCACATTCTAAGCCACTTCGTTGGGCTATCACTTGCAGCCAGGGTCGCTTCTGAAAAAGAGCTGTGTAGCTCAGTGGGCTTTACCTGGTAATATAAAAAAATTTGGTTTGTCTATAATTTGAAGTGCTTTCATGGTTTGCGTTTTTGCGCACCGCTTGCCAGCGCAGCATCACCAAATAATTTGTCATCTTGCAGGATGCAGATTGAAGAGTCCTCCAAGCCGATGCGGTTGTCTCAGCAGCTCGAAAAAGCGGTCACGACAAATTACAAGCCCGTGGCAAACCACCAGTACAACGTGAGTTTCCTGTTGAATGTTCAAATTTGCACATGTGTAGTGTGTAAATAACTGGGGGAGATCTCCTTTGGTTCTTTCGGTAAAGTCACGTAGAATGAGAATAAAATAATAAAATGAAACAATCAAATTCTCACGATGTTTCGGCCACAACACAAGTGGCCTTATTCAGGTGAAAGGAACAAACCTGTCGGGATGACAGAGCTACAATGAACGCTGCTAAGATTCGCAGCGTCTTTTAAGCTGGTTGAGAGAAGTGAGGCACCTTGACAAAGGGGTTTACATATCAAACAGGAGAATTTAGCATTGAAACAGTTGAGGGATTAGCTTGTGACTGGTCACAAACAGCTATGTTAAAGTCAAAGCCTACACATCCACAGAGGCACCTCGTCCAAGGACGCCAAAGGGGCTGCAACAACTCAACTATCATACAGTAAATCGATGTGAAAAAAACCTAAGTCTAAATTACATCAATACAATAAATGTACTCAATATATTCTTCAATAAGCAGAGCTATTAACAGCAACTGGGTATACACTACACTATATAATGAATACCATATAGGAAACAGATAAAAAAACTAAAATATAAACGACCTCAATGTTATCAATAAACTCTATATTCTCCAATCAGCTGAGCTACCAACAATGAGTCGTTATATATCACGATGCTATATGGCGAAAAAATGGGTGGATTCTTACCCTCCACATCAACACCACGGACCGCTACGCGCCCCGTTCAGACGGACGAGTCCATCCATGGTCGGAACAGAGGGAGGAGAGAAACAGCTGCGAGGCGCTGTTATAATCATGTTATAAACCATACCATTAACCGTGGTGTGAGAAGTATTAAGAGTCAATGCCAGCGAAAGAGCTGCGGTCTGAAGGTCACCATAAAATAATTAATTAAGAACCGAAATGGTTTAAAACATCTTTCCAGTGGTTACTAAGCCAGAATCCATCTTCTGCATTGAAATTGTCTCTGTGCTTGTATATGTGGATAGCCTCATGAACGAATCTCTCATGGTAGCCGTTTGGCTTGCAAAGAACCTCCGTTTTGGAGAAATCAATGTCATGTGAGCCCACTGAATTATAACAGTGATCTGCCACGGCGGAGGAGTTCGTTCTACCGTGTTTCAAGTCTGCTTTATGTTCGCGGATGCGGTCCGAGATATGTCGTTTGGTTTCTCCAATGTAGCTACTACCACAGAGGCACTTTAGTTTGTAAACGCCTGGGTACTGTATGTCTGGAACAGCATCTTTTACAGATGGAACCAGATCACGGATTTTATGTACTGTGTTGAATCGGACCTGGATCTTGTGTTTATTCAGGATTTTGGAGATATTTTTAGTGACCCCTGCAATGTAGGGTAAGGTGATGGTTTTGAGTGGCTCCACAAGAGGATCCTTCTTCATGACTGGAGTGATGGCCTTGCGGATTGTGTAGTCGGAGTAACCATTAGCCCTGAGAGCCTGGTGCACGTACACGTCACTCCAGTCATGAAGAAGGATCCTCTTGTGGAGCCACTCAAAACCATCACCTTACCCTACATTGCAGGGGTCACTAAAAAGATCTCCAAAATCCTGAATAAACACAAGATCCAGGTCCGATGCAACACAGTACATAAAATCCGTGACCTGGTTCCATCTGTAAAAGATGCTGTTCCAGACATACAGTACCCGGGCGTTTACAAACTAAAGTGCCTCTGTGGTAGTAGCTACATTGGAGAAACCAAAAGACATATCTCGGACCGCATCCGCGAACATAAAGCAGACTTGAAACACGGTAGGACGAACTCATCTGCCGTGGCAGATCACTGTTATAATTCAGTGGGCTCACATGACATTGACTTCTCCAAGACGGAGGTTCTTTGCAAGCCAACCGGCTACCATGAGATATTCGTTCATGAGGCTATCCACATATATAAGCACAGAGACAATTTCAACCGAGAAGATGGATTCTGGATTTGTAACCATTGGAAAGATATTCTTAGTTTTTTCGGTAAAGTCACGTTGAAGAGAAACAACAAAATAACAAAATATATATAAAACAATAAAAAATTCTCACGACGTTTCGACCATAACTCAAACGGTCATCATCAGGTGAGGTGATGATGACCGTTTGAGTTATGGTCGAAACGTCGTGAGAATTTTTTATTGTTTTATATATATTTTGTTATTTTGTTGTTTCTCTTCAACGTGACTTTACCGAAAAAACTAAGAATATGAATTACTGCAGTCACGAAAGCTTTAAATCATTGGAAAGATGTTTTAAACCATTTCGGTTCTTAATTATTTTATGGTGACCTTCAGACCGCAGCTCTTTCGCTGGCATTGACTCTTAATACTTCTCACACCACGGTTAATGGTATGGTTCATAACATGATTATAACAGCGCCTCGCAGCTGTTTCTCTCCTCCCTCCTCTGTTCCGACCATGGATGGACTCGTCCGTCTGAACGGGGCTCGTAGCGGTCCGTGGTGCTTATGTGGAGGGTAAGAATCCACCCATTTTTTCGCCATATAGCATCGTGATATATAACGACTTATTGTTGGTAGCTCAGCTGATTGGAGAATATATAGTTTATTGATAACATTGAGGTAGTTTATATTTTAGTTTTTTATCTGTTTCCTATATGGTATTCATTATATAGTGTAGTGTATACCCAGTTGCTGTTAATAGCTCTGCTTATTGAAGAATATATTGAGTACATTTATTATATTGATGTAATTCAGACTTAGGTTTTTTTCACATCGGTTTACTGTATGATAGTTGAGTTGTTGCAGCCCCTTTGGCGTCTTTGTACGAGGTGCCTCTGTGGATGTGTAGGCTTTGATTTTAACATAGCTGTTTGTGACCAGTCACAAGCTAATCCCTCAACTGTTTCAATGCTAAATTCTCCTGTTTGATATGTAAACCCCTTTGTCAAGGTGCCTCACTTCTCTCAACCAGCTTAAAAGACGCTGCGAATCTTAACAACGTTCATTGTAGCTCTGTCGTCCCGACAGGTTTGTTCCTTTCACCTGATGAAGGCCACTTGTGTTGTGGCCGAAACGTCGTCAGGATTTGATTGTTTTATTTGATTATTTTATTTTCATTCTACGTGACTTTACCGAAATAACCAAAGAAGATGAATCCTTGCAGTCACGAAAGCTTTAAATCGAAACTGGAGGAGAGTTTCTTTGAGGCAACACGGTTTATTATCAGTAACTGCTAACACCGGATACGCTAAGGAGGTAGCCCCTCTGGACAATTACGCCTCTCACAGACTAATATATATCTTCTTGAGGCTTGAGTTTTCACTGGTATATGCTGGAGCTGACCCTGGCCAGGGGTTCGGCTCTGCCTCTTGGGCTCTTCTGTTCAGGAGTCCTCTTCAGTCCTCAGGCGAACGTTCAGAGGTCCGGCTTTTATACAGAGCCGTGGCTCGCTCGGCCCCGGCCACACCTTCCTTCTCGAACCTTCCAGCAGGACCTGGGGGTGATATCTGCATGCCGCTCCACAGGGGTTACCGTTGGGCCCTGTGGGCCATCGTCCCTTAGCCCTGGGGCTCGGCCCCTCTTCTGCCCCCTATTGGCATGTGGGCGGTACTACCGGCAAACTGCATGGAGATGGCGCATCTTCGCCCAATAATACCTTCACACATGCGCTCACATTCACTCACAGCGAGTCCTCGTCAAGCTCACTCGTCGTTCCAGAAAAAAAGCGGTGCGTTGTGCGAAGAACGCCTTCAGCGGGAAACGATTTGCCCATAAAATAATGGAACGATAAAGTTTGGCGAGATACGGCGTGCGACTACGCGCACGCGGCGAGACGGCGGCACAAATAAATGGGGGTACGCTGCCGCGTTACCGTATACGTTCCGCGTTACCGTATCACTCCGCGAAACCGCAGAGCTCAAGAAAGCAGTTTATTTGTCAACCGCTCAGAAACCGCATTATAGCGGTGCTTGTTCCGCGTTGTAACGGTGGGTGGGTCCGCATTATGACGGTGAGCGTTTGGTGTTATAACGAGTGAGCGTTCCGCGTTATAGCGGTGCACGTTCTACGTTGTGCGAAGACTGTTTCCTAAAGGAAGAACCGCGTTATGTGAACCTCATGGCGCCGCGGTTCCATAGTACCATAATACCATAGTGCCCCGGCTCTCGCACAATGTCCGTGATGCAGTCATTTTTAGTCTGTTGATGGTCGGCGGTGCGGCGATCGTCGAGCTGCACACGATGCACCGCTACGGTGCGTACGAGCGTTCGGGGTTTCAGCGCAATGGTCCTCGCTGCGTTTCGACGTCGCAGAGTGTAGCACCGATTTCGGATTGATTGGTACCCCAGTCGCGGAGTTAAGTAACACCCATGGAAAAAAAAAATAGTGTCCCAGAAATAAAATATTTAATTGCCTCGGCCATTTTGTATTATTTGGCACCCCGGGGTACTGCCATCAGGGATCATATAGCGAAAACGCGTTTTAGTGTGAGCACGTGTTAATTGAGGACTTGCCTTATACGCATTACTGCAAGAATATATGAGAAAGACAAAGATCCATTGTATAGATGTTGGGGCAGGTGCTGTTTGCGAGCACCTATGAGGTCGGCATGGCACATGAATGGATGGCCTTGCCACCTCCGTACCCGACTGCCTTTGTGTCCCCAATGCTGATGGCTGATGTTTACAACGCGTGACGTTGGTTACTCATTTAAGGCCGAGTCGACCTAAGAGAGGTCCAAGACCGGCTCAGATATTCGTCACCGATCTTGGCTGCGGGTGGGAATCGTAACTTGGATTTGCCGTGCGTTCGTAGTGCAGTGCTCTATCCACTGCTCTATCGCTCCACATGCAGGCGCGTAATTCGCATGAGTACAAAATATAATTGCGATGTCCGAGATGAAAGAGCAATTGCAATAGTACTCCTAAATATCCCTAAAACATATTCTTAGTTCTTTCGGTAAAGTAGTTACATTGGAGAAACCAAACGCCATGTCTCGGACCGCATTCGTGAACACAAAGCAGACCTTAAACACGGTAGGACCAACACCTCGGCCGTGGCAGATCATTGTTATAATTCAGTAGGCTCACATGACATTGACTTTTCCAAGACAGAGGTTCTTTGTAAGCCATCTGGCTACCATGAGAGATTCGTTCATGAGGCTATCCACATATACAAGCACAGAGAAAATTTCAACCGAGAAGATGGATTCTGGCTTAGCAATCATTGGAAAGATTTGATAAACCATTTCAGGTCTTAATTGATAAAAAAAAATTTCGTCTCCCCCCTCCTCTTTTCAGAACATAGATGGACTCGTCCGTCTAAATAAACTGCCAAATCGCTGCGCGTGGTGCTAACGTGTTTTTTTTTATAAATAAATAAATACACGTTTAAAAATAAATAAATTTATGCAAACCGACACACCTGAAGACGACCGTTTGTGTTATGGTCGAAACGTCGTGAGAATTTTTATTGTTTTATATATATTTTATTATTTTGTTGTTTCCCTTCAACGTGACTTTACCGAAAGAACTAAGAATATCCCTAAAACAGCGGGGTCAACGCCCTGACGAAAATCTCATCCGTGGGATGAGAGTTTTGCGTCGGTGTCTCTTGGGCGCAGAGAAACGGACGGGTAATGGCGAAGTCGTTCTCGTTCACTCGTTGTTTGTCATCGTTAGCAGCTGGCCATCCTGTGGACGCCGGCGTGTGTGCAAAACCACTGTCGATGCTCCCCACATGTTGGCCCGCTTCCTCCTCCCCCCCCCCCCCCCACCGTTTCAGGTTATTACAAAACAAGGTTGTTTTGTAACGCCGGCTCAATAAACCCCCCCCCGGGGTTCCGTTTGCATAACAAGACATCCGTACACCGACGACGTCGAGGCCCTAACCAGAGCTGCCTCTGCTTCTTCAGTCCCTTGGGGGTGTTTTGTGCGACGTCGGGGGCTCGCCTGCCCCCCTCTGCCCTTGCTGCCTCAGTTCGCCGCTGCCAGCCCCCCCACGTTTTTGTTCCTGTTTCAGCGATCGTTTTTTTTACACCCACCCACCCACCCCACCCCCTCCTCCTCCGAGCCGTTTCCCCGCTCCTCCCTGGCCCAATGCGACGGTGCCGCTCTCAAACTTCATTTTTTCTGCCGATTTTCCTATCTGCAGATCGCGTTCGACCGCAGGAAGAAAGAGGAGGGCAAGCGCGCACGTGCCGACAAGCAGCAGGTTCTGGACATGCTCTTCTCTGCCTTCGAGAAGCACCAGTACTACAACATCAGAGACCTGGTGGACATCACCAAGCAGCCTGTTGTGAGTGCCGTTGTGTGCGCTTTCTTTTCCTCTCAATGTAGAGATGGAGTCGCGGGCATAGCCGCCTAGATGGCCTGCTAAGACGATGTGTCATTTATATTATTTGTCAGCAGGGGGCAGTGCAGCTATACCCACCCCCTGGCTGTACGTATGTACGTTGGCCCTCTTTCGCACAGTACGTAGCCAACCGTGCTGATTCGAGGTGGGGGGGGAAAAGGACGGCCAACTGAACACGAAAAAGGAGTTGCCAAAGAAATTAGGTTTCAGTGGAGAATGAGCCCATCGGACCTCTCGTCGCCTACGCTGTGTCTACGGGCAATGACAAGGGTGGCGTAACGTGCCAAGCTACCCACGTCTTTCACAAACCAGAGTGGTGAAGTATGGATCATGTATGTACTGTACGTTGAACTTTTTTCGCACCGTACGTAGCCAACCGTGCGAATCAGAGGTGCGGAGGAAGGACAACAAACGAAACAACAAAAAGAAGTGGGGGGGGGGGGTGGGGGGTGAGGGGTGAGGCTGTCATACAGCGGCTGATCAACAAAAGGGGATCATCATGTACACATGGCTCCTTATGCAGCCCAAAAAATTGCAGCATCACGACCCCACGCAGCAGGGAGCTTCGCTTAAAATTATCTTGGGGCCAGTGGGTGGGAGGAGGAGGGAGGGGGGGGGTGTTGTGATTCGAAGGTTTCCACTCATTTCTCTGCCCTTTGGTTTCCAGTAGAAAATGATTGTGATTTCCGTGTTTGCATCCAATTTTGAGTCGTTGTGGATTTCGTTGACGCTGCTCCAGAGAAGTGCCATGACTTATATGCAACGAAAAGGGGAACTATTGGCAGAGCCGAGAGATCGATCGAGAATGTTGGTGAAATATGGGCCGAGTAAAATGCTAATTTTCTTGAATTTAAATTTGGTAGGGGAAGGGATGGAGGGACCGAAAATTGGGCCGGGACTGAGAGACCGAATCGGCGACGGCTGATGGGAGGCAACCTTGAAAAAATTCTGTAAAGGTGTGCCCTGGAATGGTGGGGAGGGGGGGGGGGGGAGAAATCCGGCATGAATATGTGGAGGGTTGGTAGGGGGGGAATGAGATGAGCCAGAGCGGGAAGTTGTTAATTGCTTTTTTTAGCCATGGGAGAAAAACGGAGAGCCCGGAGGAAATCCATGCAGAACAGGCCAAGGGCGAGAGAACCAGACAGACTCCACACGCAGGAAGGGAAGGTTCCCGAGTGAGGAATCGAACCCAGGCACTTGTTGCTGTGAGACACCGGTGTCACCACTGTGCCACCCCTCCCCCTCAGGTTAAGACAGGAGGTTGGGCTGGGTGTGGTGCATGTTTTGTAATGACGACTGCGCGCGCACACCCACACGTGTCCTGCCCATCGCAACCTTCCCAGCAGTTTAATGAAATTGGTAATGATTTTGGGTCGCGATTTAATTTGCGAGTCTTCAAAATTCTCACACTCTCTTTTGTGCGGTCTCTCAGACTGTCATTTTTGCTTAGTTTTGCCCGCTCCCGTTAGCCGAAAATGTAACGTCAGCTGTATACGTTACACAAACCGTAAATAATAATTGATTCTCACACACACACACGCACGATTAAATCCATGCATCGTTCGTGGAAGAATCAATTTTAAATGATGAATAGATGTACCATTGGATGCCTGGCGGGCACCCAGAGGTCTGTAATCAATCAAAAGACCAGTTGGTGGGATACTGTGAAAGCTTTGTAATGCAGTGATCCTTAATGTTTACTACAGCCTTGCACCCCTTTGGTTCTCAATGGTAAAATAATGTAAAATGTTAATACATATAGGTTTGATGCAACAAAGTAGTTGTACTTACGTACCCATGCTTAAATTGTCTTTTCGATGGTTTTCCTTTAAAAAAAAAAATCTGGCCTTGTCTCGCCGCACCCCCAGAAAAGGGCATCTTTGCACCCCCAGAAAGGGTATCTTGCATTCCCAGGGGGTGCGCCCACCCCAGGTGAAGAACCAGGGCTCTACCCTTCCCACACATGTTGGCCAGTACAGTGGCATGGCCTTGCCAGCTTTAATACACCTGAGTAAGTTCTTAAACAATAATGGGAAGCCTCGCTGCCAAGTGCATAGTACAAGAGGGACTCGACTAACCAGTTTTGAAAGTCTGGCCTGCAGATAAATTGAATGATTCGATGTTGTTTCATGTGCCCACTCGTGATTGACTACTGGTTGCCGCGCCAGCCTAATGAGGCGAACAGTTGGGGCAAGTTTGTTCTGTGCCTGCTCCTCTCGAGGGGGTGCCGATAGGATGGCGTGGCCAGCAAGCTACTGGACATCTGTGTAAAAAAAAAGAGCTTTACAGCTCATCGGATTCCTCCAGTGTAAACACATTTTGATTCTGAAACTAAGCTTGTGGTTAGGAGGTGAGCAATTCCACCCGTCTTGAGATTCGAGTTGGGAACATAACACGGGTTCCTTCTGCATGTGTGTATGTTGAACTTCTTAGGTCATGTGCCAGGTCTTTCCAGCGTATTATCGTGAGAGATGTCGGACGGATTGGGGGAGGCCTTTATGCAGCAGTCGATTGATCTTGGCTATTGCTGCTGATGCTGCTGATGTTGCCTGGCTGGCTGACGCTAGTCACTGATGTCTGTTAAAGTACACGATTGTAAATGTGTTCCGTGTAAGGCCACGTTGAGGCTTAACCAAGATGCAGAGTGGGTACACCCAATAAAGTTCCTGTAACCGCAAAAAACATCCTTGGCACGATTTGTGAACAGTGGCAATGAAAATTTACGAGCCGTGCTATGTGGGTGCCTGATTATCCTTATTCAAATCCCACATGCTAAGGCAATGAAGCTCTTTGTCAAACCAACTATTGGATGAAGGCCTCCTCGAGCTGTCAAGTCATGGTGGTTGTTTTTGACCGTGCTCGTCATTGCAGGTTGGGTATCAGAACTGCTTCAGATATCTGACCGTGGAGTTAAACTCAGCTCCAGTGGATTTGTAAGGCATTGCTCTAAGCACTACGCCGCCAGTGATGAGCCCTTAAAACACCGTCACGTTTGGCATTCAACGTAATCTCGGTTCTGAGCATGTCTTTATTTGGAGGAGCGCTTTGTAAGGCAACGGGAGTAGCAGCTTTGTATGCAATAGCACGTGGCCTTGTGCCCACTTTAAGCGATGCAAATAAAACATGGTTTGTAAAAGTGTCAACCGTAAAAAAAAAAAAATCCCGTGCGGATGGAACCAACAGCTGGAGTGGAAAAAAACCATCACTTATGTTTTGCGCTTCAAGTTGATTTTATTTTTAACCAGGTGAGAACTCAAGGGACCATGAGATAAGCATCTCATTTTGCAATGTTGACCTGGGGCATTAGTCTGCCAGGAGGAGGAGGAGGCAATGATTGCTGCGATGTCTGCTCTTTGGTGATTTTCGTGTTAAGTTTGTTCGCCTGCCCCCGCACCTCTGATTGGCGCGGTTGGCTACGTACAGTGCGAGAGAAGCTCAACATACTCAGACTCGCACAGAGACCCATAAACTCGCACAGAGACCCATAGTTTGTTGTCCTTTCCCCGCACCTCCAATTAGCGCGATTGGATATGTGTGGTGCGAAAGACGTTCACCATACATACATCTCCCAAGAGGGCAATATTTTGTAGTGACACGGAGATGCGTACGTTTCCTGCTCTTGTTTTTTTGCAGACATACCTCAAGGATATTCTGCGCGAGATCGGGATCTACAACGTGAAGGGGACTCACAAGAACACGTGGGAACTAAAGCCAGAGTACAGACATTACCAGAGCGACGAGAAGAGTGACTGAAAACTCGGCCCAGTGTGTGGGCCCGCATCGTGCGTGCGTGTGTGTACCATACGACTCATTTAAATGCTGTTTATAAATGGGTATCACCACCACCGGTTGCGTATGGTGACGTGGTGGGGTAAAGTGTGTGTACACCCACCTCTTCTAAAGGTGTTTGGCCAGCTTGGAAGAGTAGGGCTAAAAACATACCTCTCTCGAGGGGCTCTCTCGTGGAGGCCAGCGGTGTCATGAGAAAGTAGTTGCAGGGCTTGAACCTTCTCCTTTAAGTTCATGTGCCCGGGTGATGGCAGCCTCCTTATTCAGAAGGATCGTTCGATGACGTGGTGGTGATGGCGAAGGTGGCGTTTGTCTCTTTGCAATGTTGCACTGCTGTCGGTACGGTACCAGCATTTGTTTTTAATGTGTTGAATAAACAACAAAAAAATGTCTTATTCCTTTAATTAATTTCTCCACGTAGCGGCTGGCTGTGTGTGGCTCCCCACGTCATCCGGTGCTGTGGGCCTTTACCGAACAGCTGAACAGGCATGCCTGAGATATGCATTTTCATAACCCAAGCCCGCCAACTCATCTTGTCAAGTTTAGCCGGTTTTCGATGGTATCTGCAGGCAGGCACCAACCAAAAACTTGGTTTTGCATTCAATTTGCGCAAGCGTAAAGCAAATAATTTGACGACAAATTAATATCGCCCCACTCGTGTTCACAGCTTGAGTGCGTGCGCTCCTTAAGAGGTGGGAAGGTAATTGTCGATGGGCACCCCTTGAAATTGAGACGTTCCGTCTCTGAAAGGGTTATTTATTTATTTTCCAGGTAAAAAGGTAATACATAGATCAACATTCCCCCAACTTTGACTTGGATGTGCATCGTCATGGGATATTGTCTGTGCTTGCAAGTAAAGTGGAGTTACAGTATTTTCAGATGTTTTGTTTGCTATGTTATGAATAGAAATTCTATAAATATCTTCAAATGTCTAAAGTATGTCATGAAACCTGTTTAAATTTTTTTTCACAATGCAGTCGTACTCGTACTGAAGCTACTACGTTTATGAAAGCGTAACGTGGGACAGTTTAGCGTAATAATTGTGCACGCAAGCTTTGCAGCAATACCTGTAGTCTGCCGTTTGGTATTGCCTCCGTACGGCTTTGATCTGCAAATAAAACGACGGTGCTCCATCAACCCCCTTCAGAAGAGCAACTGGTCGCTGCGCACTCCTCCACAAGTGGGGAATCAGACGACAACCCCACGGTGTGACTGCGGCCACCCGTACCAGAAAAATTGACCATATCGCGAATAACTGCATCATCCTACGCACGCTCTCTGCCGGACTGAGCGGTATTAGTTGCACAACTCCCGAAGCTATCGCGTGGCTCACAAACTTTAACTTGTGCGTGCGATTTCCACATTTGCCATACGCTGGAGAGAGAGAGAGAGCAATACCGAAATTAAAATGTATTCTCAAAATAGTGCCGTATCCTCTGAAACCACACTGGAGGTGTTCAAGGCTCGCTTGCTACAAACGGCGTCTTTGTTACTCAAGTTATTTTTAGAATGTTGTCATTTGAAACCAACGGTGAAAACATTGCAGGATTTAATAAAAAGCCAATTAAAAAGAGCAGGCATGGGTTTTTTTTGTTTACTCCGTGTGAAGCTACAGTGCCTTTCATTTTAACACCTGAATGTCCATTGGCGTTTTCAACAGCGTCTTGTTTATCACCACATTTTGGGAAAAAAAAAAACATCAAGTATTATTTTGTGTTTGCGAGGGGTTGAATAAGTGCCACTTAAGTGCTTTGTGATGGGTTTCGGATATGATTTGACCGTAAAAAAGGTGTCGTGGTTTATATGCGAAAGGTTTTTTTTGGGGGGGGGGGTCTATATCGCATGGCTATTATCCAGAGCAAATGTGGAAAAGGTTACCAAGGCCACTGTTAATGGCACTAACGTTTACCATCAACGTCAGCCAGACCCCAGATCTCTTGGGGGGGGGGGGGGGGGAAAGTCAAAATCTCACCTTTCAAGTCTATTTCTAAAAAGTCTCCCTCCATCTATCTTTATAACTGTCATTACCACTGATAGTGGGCGACCATTCGCAATGCCTGTCCCAATAAATGCATCTTGCGCAAATCCGCCCACCATCTATCATTATGACTCATTGTCACTGATACTGAGTGACCATTCGCAATGCCTGCCCGAATAATTCCATCTTGCGCAAATCCTCCCACCATCTGTCCTCATCATCCTCTCTCGTTGTCACTGATACTGAGTGACCATTCCCAATGCCTGTCCACCTTGCAACACATTCCACACCCATCAAAACCATTTCCTCCCACCCTCTCTATCTCCCTCTGGTTACATCTACAATGCTTGTTGTGGCACGTTCCATTCCAAAGGTTCAGCTTGTGGTGCTTGTCTGTGGAGGGAGTCCGTGGTGGTGGGGGGGCGGCATGGGGAGTAAAGGTTACATACGAGGAGGAGTGTGGAGCAACAACAGCGGCACGTGCAGCGTAAGACGTGGCTCGCGCTGGCCAGCGGCTTGTCGGCATTGTAGAGGCTGGCACCCCGGGGCCTTTGCTGGCGCATGGAGAGGGCATTTGGTCGTCTGCCGCCGAGCCGTGCGAGGGTGAATTTGGGTCCGTTCTGCGCACCTTGGAAGTATCGATTTATTCATATGGCCAATCAGTGAATCATTTCAACGTTTGTCATGTACTTCACTGTTATTGTCCACAAACAATGGGACCCGCGAAATTTATGGCACAGGTGGTACCGACAAGCGAAATTTACAGTTTGGCCTCTTGAACTAAAGTTCCCCATCTATAGTTGTACCTGCACACGAAATATGTAGAACTTCTTTCGCACCGCACGTAGCCAACCGTGCTAATCGGAGGTGCGGAATGGAAGGACACGAAACAACACCGAAAGCATAGGAATAGGTTTTTACCCTTTTAACTGGCACAAAAACTGACACCTTTATTCAAGGCATCATAAAACACCGAAAGCAGTTCTATTCGAAATTAGTTCTCAGTCTAGATTTTAAAGTGCGTACCTCCGGCGGTGTCCTAATATCGGAATGAAGGGGGGGGGGGGGTGTTGTGCGGTGCCCATCGCAGCGATGAGCACCGCACGCTGAGCGCAGTGATGGGCACCTCTTACCTTAGCCTCCTGTCCTCCACGTCACCTGGCCGGGAAGCCCCACAACACCGCCCACCCACCCACCCCAGTGCCACGAAAGCCGCCTTGGTTCTGCCGGCACGCGTTGTGCGACTTCTCGGCGTCTGGTTTGCGACGAGCAAGCATTCTCCTATCGACGGAGGATTTCTGTTGGAAATTCCCGTCGATGGATTGTTACTCTTTGTTTCTTTCGGTAAAAGTGACGTAGAAAAATAAATAAATTAGATAATAGGGTACGACGTTTCGATCGAAACACAAGCAACCGTCATCAGGTAGAACTAAATTTGAGAGAGAGACAAAACACAGACACGGAGACACACAGACAGACACAAGCAGAGAGAGACAACACAGACAGAGAGAGCCACAGATGTGTTGTCTCTCTGATTGTGTCTGTCTGTGTGTCTCCGTGTCTGTGTTTTGTCTCTCTCTCAAATTTAGTTCTACCTGATGACGGTTGCTTGTGTTTCAATCGAAACGTCGTACTCTATTATCTAATGTATTTTCTTTCTACGTCACTTTACCGAAAGAAACAGAGTATTTTTTGCAGTCACGAAAGCTTCAAATCAAGTTTGATGGATTGTTAGGTGGGCGAACGTGCTTCGTAAGCTCAGGGGGTTTCGGCGCGTGACCACGGCGCCCTTTGAACCATCTACGTGACTTTACCGAAAGACCCAAAGAATATGAATTCCTGCGAGGTACTGGCCAAACCCTTCACTAGAAGGAGAGCTCTGCGTGGCGAGTATTTCCCTGTACAAACACATGGGTTTTTAGTTCTTCGGTAACCCACCTCGGTCGAGGACGATTGTCTTCCACAAATGTATCTCTCATCTGTGGGTCTGAAGAGGGCTTGCCGAGGCCGATCTGAGCGATCCTCTTCTTTGAAGTTTGCCCGTCTTTCTCTCGCCCCATGGTCGCGTAGATTTTTCTCCGGGTCCTCCGGTTGTTTTAATGTCCACATTTAAAATCAACGTCACGCATTTAAGATGATTTGGCTGCGATCAATGTCACAAGCCGCCAGTTCGTTGAGCTATCATTTGTGATAGGTCGCTTCTGAAAACAAGAGAGCTGCATACAGCTCAGTGGGCCTTACCTGATCATTTTTGTTTATAGTTGTATCGTATTTTGTTTTACTGTTGAGTGCTAGCGCCACATCGGAGCAAGGGAGGATGGCTCCCTCCACCGTGGTTGAGCTCTGACATTGTTACAAACCTCATGCTAGAACACGGATGCGAATGATCACGAGAAGAGCCCAACCTCAGTGTTGGTTTTGGTTGTGCCGAGTCATTAGTTGGGGTCAAGTTCAGGACGATGAAGCAGTTCTTTAACGATCCGCGGAGTGCGTAAGATCCATTTCTCAGTGGGTTTTACGTGGGTAGAATAACAACTAGTTTTTTTTATTTTTATTCTCTGGGTCTTTCGGTAAAGTCACGTAGATGGTTCAAAGAAAATAACAGAAACAAACTACGACGTTTCGATCAAAAGCGATCGTCATCAGGATGATCGCTTCTTTGAACCATCTACGAGACTTTACCGAAAGACCCAAAGAATATGAATTCCTGCAGTCACGAAAGCTTTAAGTCAAGATTTAGTTTGTTTTGTTTACCTGCGATCGACAGAATGTGTTGTTGCAGGCTTGCCCGCAGTTTTCACGAGAGCGGGATGGGTGGAACCCTGGGTGGTTTGGGTGTTCATCTGATCCGCGACCACGCCGCTTCTTGCCGCTGCTCCAGATTTTTTCCCGGTCTCGTTCTTGTCGTCAAGAGGGTTTCACGGTGCCGTGGTCCTCGCCGCAGAGTCGCCCTCCATCTGGGCGCGATCACGGTGTCGCCTTCCCCTGCATCGTTACCCCCAGAGTTGGTGAACTCGTCTGCACCGTACGTAGCCAACCGTGCTATTTGGAGGTGTGGTGTAAGGACAACAACCGACTCTCTATCAGACATACAGATCAACACTTTTTTAGGGGGGTGGGTGGGCAGAGCTTTGTGACGTCATATTTGAGGAGGGGGGGGGGTGTCTCACTTTTTGTGACGCCGTGTGACGAGGGAGGGGGGGGGGGTCAAAAATCGCGTGACGTCATTTATGGACACCCCCCCCACCCGCCTCTAGTCGAAATAGAGGACGTGCACACACAGTGCCCTACCTCGTCGGGTGCCACAGGTTACGGCATCCGAGTGCGATTCCCGGGATCCGGTTGCAGGCAGCTCGATTCGTACCCACGCGCGCACACACACACACACGCGCGTTGTGTCAACACACGTGCTGTGTTGATCGTCTCCAGTGAGGTTGATGTGCACTGTACCCCAGGGTTACGGGTGAGACGAGGAGCCTGTGTAGACAATCACTTACGGGATCACAACTGTGCCCCATCCTTCGCTTGGTTACTGAGCGATTTTCTTAGGGACCGTCAATAAATGACGTCACGCGATTTTTGACGATTTTTTTTGACCGCCCCCCCCCCTCTCCTCTCATCGTCACACGGCGTCACAAAAAGTCAGACCCCCTCAAATATGACGTCACAAAGCTCTGCTTCAAATCATGCTTCAAATCGCCTTAAACTATTGTCATTGTAGTGCGTATTTAATGTGGCGCTGCACTCTGATGTTGTAGGAGAAAACATTTATTTAAAAAGTCTATTTGATTAAGTAGAACGTGTTGTCTATATTTATTTAAAGTTGCGCATTTTGATGTGACGTCACATTTCTCAAACACCCCCCCCCCCTCGTGACACATCGTCACAAATGTCTGACCCCCCCCTCCCCCAGGTGCGTGACGTCATTTATGGACGGCCCCTTATTGTGTACCGATGTCGAACTTATTTCGCACCCTACGCAGCCAACCGTGCTAGTCGGAGGTGCGACAGACAGACGAACTCAACACATAAAAGCAGTTCTCAAGAAATGACTTTTCAATCGAGATGATTTAAAAGGGCGTAGCTCCAGCGGCTCCCCTATATCGGTACGGGAGAGCGTTCCAGACGTACCATTCTGAAACCTGCGAGACACGCGGCATATCGGAGGTGCCGTTTCAAGCCACCCCAGTCGTCAAGCAAGACCGACAACTACGCACCGCAGTCCCGAGCCTTGAGCCCACCTCTGGGGGGCGGGGGGCACGCTTCTGCTGCTGTTGCTTCTGCTGCTGCTGCTGTTGCTGCTGCTGTTGTTATTGTCTCGGGAATCTCACCCGGACCCGCGAGGCCACTGCAGCCGCGCTGAAACAGAGTGGAGGCAACGCGGACGCCCAGAATGTAAACACCTCCCTCAATTCGAGACCCCACGCATCATCCCAAACCAAACAACCAAAATTCCCTCCGCCACCCCCCCAAAGATCCCCCGTATAGCCTTAACAGACTGTAGGGGCAAGTGCTGATAGCGATCACCTATGAAGGTAGTACACGAGGGGGTGGGTGGCCAGCACCACGCCCGACCGCCTTTGTCTCCCCAGTGGCGATGTTTACACACCGCACCAGGTACTCATTTTGAGGCTGAGTCGACCTAGGGGAGGCACGTGACCGAGATACACACAGACATACAGATACACACAGACACAGAGATACACACAGACACAGAGATACACACAGAGACACAGAGATACACACAGACACACACAGACACAGAGATACACACACAGACACAGAGATACACACACAGACACACATAGACACAGAGACACACACACAGAGACACACACACAGAGACACACACACAGAGACACACACACACACGTACACACACAGACACAGAGATACACACACAGACACAGAGATACACACACAGACACAGAGATACACACACAGACACAGAGATACACACACAGACACACACAGACACACACAGACACAGAGACACACACAGACATAGAGATACACACAGACATACAGATACACACAGACACACACAGACACAGAGATACACACACAGAGACACAGAGATACACACACAGACACCGAGACACACACACAGACATAGAGATACACACAGACACACACCGACACCGAGATACACACACAGAGATACACACACAGACACAGATACACACACAGACGCAGAGATACACACAGACCCAGAGATACACACACAGACACAGAGATACACACACAGACACACACAGACACAGAGACACACACACACACGTACACACAAGCTCCGCCCCCCCCCTCCACGGACTGGGCGTGGCCTCACCCCACGGCCAATGCGCGCGTAGCGGGGAGGAGGCGAACGAGGAGCAGGGGGGGGGGAGAAAATCATCAGACCAGCGGTGGATAGACCACGGGCGATGCCAAGCAGCGCAGCGTTTCCTCGTTGGCTCCTCACGCAAGGAGGTGGAGGAGGAGGTGGAGGAGGTGGAGGAGGAAGAGACGACGCCGACCCCTCGCGAGCCAGCGACGGGTCGCCCGCACCTCGCCCGTGGTTCCCCGCGCCGTCGCCGTGAACAGCGCGGGGCGAGTCCGCCAGGGACATTTAACACGACGACGGCGACGGCGATAGCCGGTGGATGTTGAAGCTGCGCGTGCTGCTGCTGCTGTTGCTGTTTAATAGTCTCCCTGCAAGGGGGGGTTGAAGCCGCCGCCACCACCGCCGCTGCCACTGCTGCGGTTGTTGTTGTTGCTGCTGTGGTTGTTGCCGCTGCTGCTGTTGTTGTTGTTGCCGCTGCTGCTGCCGCTGCTGCTGTTGTTGTTGTTGCCGCTGCTGCTGCCGCTCCTGCGGTTGTTGTTGCTGCTGCTGCTGCGAGGTCGCTGAATGACAATTCGTCCGTCGGCTCGACGAGGCTTGTTTTTGTCGTTACGCGAGCCAGTCGGAGCCAGCCCGAGCCGAGCCAGCCCGAGTCAGCCCGATCCAGCCCGAGTCAGGCCGATCCAGCCCGAGCTAGCCCGAGCCAGCCCGATCCAGCCCGAGTCAGCCCGAGTCAGCCCGAGCCAGCCCGAGTCAGGCCGAGTCAGCCCGAGCCGAGCCAGGCCGAGTCAGCCCGATCAAGCCCGAGTCAGGCCGATCCAGCCCGAGCCAGCCCGATCCAGCCCGAGTCAGCCCGAGTGAGCCCGAGCCAGCCCGAGCCAGGCCGAGTCAGCCCGAGCCAGGCCGAGTCAGCCCAAGCCAGCCCGAGCCAGGCCGATCCAGCCCGAGCCAGCCCGAGCCAGCCCGAGCCAGGCCGAGTCAGCCCGAGCCAGCCCGAGTCAGGCCGAGCCAGGCCGAGTCAGGCCGAGCCGAGCCAGCCCGAGCCAGCCCGAGTCAGCCCGAGCCACCCCGAGCCAGCCCGAGTCAGCCCGAGCCAGCCCGAGCCAGCCCTTGTGAAGCCAAGTCAGCCCGAGTCAGCCCGAGCTGAGTCAGTCCGAGCCAGGTCGAGCCAGCCCTTGCCGAGCCAGCCCTTGCCGAGCCAGCCCTTGCCGAGCCAGCATGTCGTTCACGGCGGAGGATCTCAACAATGGGCAGCCGCACTGCGCGGGCAGCAAGAAGAAGAGCGGCTTCCAAATCACGAGCGTCACCACGGCCAGGGCGCACAGCAACAGCGCCGGGGACGACACCGAGGTGAGCTTCGACCTGGAGGACGACGCCTCCACGAAGACCGAGGAGCTCGGCGGCTCCTGCTCGGACATCTTCGACACGCCCGCCGCCTGCGCCGAGATGATTTTCCTCCCCGCGGCCGACGAGACGGAGCAGAGGGCGCCCGCGGAGCCTGGAGATCGAGGGACGCCTGCGGCGGTGGAGTCGGGCGACGGTGGTGACTGTGGCGGTGATGTTGAGGAGGTTGAGCTGCCTGCTGCTGCTGCTGCTACCGCTACCTCGGCGGTGTTCAGACCCGACGGTGGGGCACCCGCCGTGGAGGTTGTGGTCGGTGGACACGTTGAGCAAGCGAGCTCGCAGAGCAACCAAGCTTACGGTCATCATCAGCAGCAGCAGCAGCAGTCTCAGTCTCACCTGCAGCCGCAAGCCCACGCGACTCCGCACGGCTGCAATTCGCGATTCCGCGTCGTCAAGCTGGTGGAGAAGGAGCCCTTCAAGAAGGGCCGCTGGAACTGCACGGACTTCTACGAGAAGGACAAGGAGGTGGTGGGCCAGGGCCAGGCCTCTGCCCTGGCCCACCACGACGCCTGCTCCGTCGTGTCCCGGGAGAACGTCGCCTTCTCCGGCCCGGTGGCGTCCCTCCACGCCTTCGACAGCCAAGCGTACGGGCAACACCACAACCACCAACAGCACCAACAACAGCAGCAGCACCACCACCAGCACCCCCAGCAATGCGACCCTCTCGGCGGCGAGAGCGTCCACCGGACGGGCCGGGACGTGCCGGCCTCGTCCTGCGTCCAGAGCCAGCCGGGTCTGGCGCCTCTCGCGGTGGCACGCCCGGGACTGCCGGGTTTCACTCAGGGCTACTACGAAGCTGCCGCGCCAGCGCCCAGCCAGGCGGCTGGCGGCGCCGGCGGCAACGCGTTACCTGCGGGCAACGGGGGCGGTGGGTTCTTTGAGCAGCAGCAGCAGCAGCAGTTGGGCATGCCGGGTGCTCCTCCAGGCATAGGTTGGGCTCCGGACAATCTGCAGAGCGTGGCTGCCTCAAATGTGGGCAGCGAGTCCCTGTTGCAGGCTGGCCAGCAGCAGCAGCAGCAACAACAGCAGCAGCAACAGCAGCAGCAGCAGCCGTTGCAAGTTCCGCAGCAGGGATATGGGATCTGCCTCGTGGAGGAAGGGACTGACAACCCTCAGCTTCAGCAGGCCCTTGGATTCCACGGCGGTCTCTTAGATCAGCAGATGGAGCAGCAGCAACAGCAGATTCCCTCCTTCGGCGTTCAGATGCAGCCGCCGCAGCTGCCGCCACAAGCGCTGTTACCGAATTTGGCCGAACTGCAGATGAGGGCCAATTCTCCGCATCCGCCGGTGCTTCTGCAGCAGCAGCAGCAGCAGGCCTGGCAGCAAAAAATGCCGCCGCATCCTCAAACAACGGACGGCAATTTCCTCCAGCATTCGCTGGCGTCGGCGGCCCACAAGCCGGCGTCGCCGATCGCGCACGGGTTCCCCGCGGTGCCGAAGAGCCCGCCGAGCGCCGTCACGCAGCAGCTGAATTCCGTGCTGGCGCAGATGCACTCGTCGCAGGGCCAGCAGCAGTTCATGGCGCAGAACCCTCACCTGCGGCCGCTGGGCACCGCGTCGCAAGCCGGCCCGGACCCCCCCCAGCAACTTGCGCCGAACTTTCAGCAGCAGTCCGGTCAGAGCGCGGGGAGGGCGACGCAGTCCCCGACGCTCGCGAGCGTCGGGGGCCCCCTCCCACCGCCCGGGCCCCCCCCCAATGCCCACGTCCTCGCGCAGCCTCCGCCGGTGGCTCTGGGCTTCGATAACATCGTGTCGAACGTCCACGCCGGCGGCGGCTCCTCGGGCGAACCCGCCGGCGTCACGTCCCCGCTGCCCGTCGCCCTCGCCCAGACGTTCAACGTCGCCTTCGCGGACGCGGCGCGGCCGGATGTCGCGGCGCTTCTGCCGCCGCCGCCGCTGCCGCCGGCGGGAGCCGCGGGTGCCGGTCGGTACCTGCTGGGATCGGCCGGCGTGCTGCCTCGGCCGGAAGGCCGCCACCACCACCAGCAGCAGCAGGCGGGCGCGGCGTTCGCGGAACCGTCGGCCGCTGGCGGAGGAGCGGACGGTGCGGCGGTGGCGATGCCCTCCTCTGGTGTGGCTCAAGGTGCGGTGGGGACGGCTGAAGACGACAGGTGAGGGCAGAATGTCTCGCCCGGTGGTTTCGGATTTTTGGTTTGGGGCCGCCACTTTTTTGAGTTCTCCGACGCGGTTGCGCCGCGTGGTTTTTTTTTTACAATTTTTTTTTTTAAACCGTCATGTTGTTACAATTCTTGTTATTGATTCTTTACTATTACGCTTGTTTACTCAGAAAAAGCTGTTCGTTGTCCTTCATCCGCACCTCTGGTTAGCACAGTTGGCTACGTACGGTGGTGCAAAAGATGTTAAACATACATACACAGAGACCTACAGAGATACCCATAGAGACCCATAGAGAGACCCATAGAGACACCCATAGAGACACCCATAGAGATACTCATAGAGACCCATAGAGACCCACAGAGACCCACAGATTAGCACAGTTGGCTACATGAAAGAGGTTCAACATACACACAGAGACCCATAGACTCACACAGAGACCCACAGACTCACACAGAGACCCACAGACTCACACAGAGACCCATAGACTCGCACAGAGACCCACAGACTCGCACAGAGACCCACGGACTCGCACAGAGACCCACGGACTCGCACAGAGACCCACAGACTCACACAGAGACCCACAGACTACTCACACAGAGACCCACAGACTACTCACACAGAGACCCACAGACTCACACAGAGACCCACAGACTCACACAGAGACCCACAGACTCACACAGAGACCCATAGACTCACACATAGAACCATAGACTCACATAGAGACTCACAGAGATGCACAGACTCGCACAGAGATCCACAGACTTACACAGAGACCCACGGACTTACACAGAGACCCACAGACTTACACAGAGACCCACAGACTCACAAGAGACCCATAGACTCACACAGAGACTCACATAGAGACGCACAGACTCACACAGAGACGTACAGACTCACACAGAGACCCATCGACTCACACATAGAACCATAGACTCACACAGAGACTTGCATAGAGACGCACAGACTCACACAGAGACGCACAGACTCACAGAGACCCATAGACTCACAAGAGACCCACAGACTTACACAGAGACCCATAGACTCACACAGAGACCCATAGACTCACAAGAGACCCACAGACTCACACAGAGACCCACAGACTCACACAGAGACCCACAGACTCACACAGAGACCCACAGACTCACACAGAGACCCACATACTCACACAGATACCCACATACTCACACAGAGACCCATAGACTCACAAGAGACCCATACACTCACACAGAAACCCACAGACTTACACAGAGACCCACATACTCACACAGAGACCCATAGTTTGTTGTCCATCCCACACACCTCCGATTCGCGTGGTTTAGCTACGTACGGTCCGATCGAAGTAAAAAATATGTACGTACATCCCGTCAGGTGGGGCAATGCGCCCACATTTTTTTCCTTGCTAAATACAAATTCCGGAGCACGGATGAAGAAAGCCGGTTGAACCTTTGGCACGTACGCACGCACGCATGTATGCACGCACGCACGCCGTGATATTTCTCGAACGTTTCTCCCTCGTCGAGGAAGGTGGTCAAAATGATCTCCCCGTGAAATCACGCGCGCGGCCCGAATCGATTGAACGTTCCGAGCCGGGCCTCCCCCCTGCCGTCGTTGACGGCCGTGACCGGCGTTACGGACCCCCCCCCCCCCCGCCATGAAAACCTCCCAGGGGGATCGGTGGCTGAGCCAATTACCCCACACCCCCGCCTGTGCCACGGATTTGAACCGACGACTCGCGCCGCGATTGGCCAGTGCGGCCCCTGTAGCGTTGCATCTCGATTGCGACCGAACTCTTCCCCGTCTTAATTCGGCTCGGGGTGGGGGGGAAACGTGATGAGACCGGCGACCCCCGAGGTCAATTCCCCGGGCGAGGCTGCCATCGGTGGCGTGTGAATCTCGACGCCCCGGTTCCTGGGTCATCGTTTTTTCTTTTCTTTCCCCGAATACCTACACGGACCGTAGCATCCCGTTGATTAAGACGCACGCGGCGGGCTTATTTTCAGCGAAATGCAGTTGAAGAATCTTTTTTTGTTGTTTAAGTACGTGCATCTTTACCGACTAGAAGTAGAGAAAAGCATTCGGTTAAAAAGAAAAAAAATGTGAACCGACGTTTCTACATCGTTGCGGGGGAAATTGTATCGCCGAGATCGTCGCGTCAAAATTAACGTCGTCGTAATGTACCGCGAAGTATATCATGTAGCGGTAACCCCAGTGGTAGCTCGCTTGCCCTATGGGCTATTCGCGATGGCGGAAACATCCGCCAGCGCGTTCTAACTCGTTCATCAGGGATTAGAAGCCCCAACGACGAGAGGAAAAACAAACTTTTAATATCGTAGTAATTCGAAAATGCGCTACATTCTGAAGCAGGACATTGACACCACCCGGTTGAGCAAGTGTGAACAGCAGCCAAGGGGCGAGCGTGGATGGAGCAAATTTGTGCCGCTGTGTTTCTAATAAAACTGTGAAGGGTGTAGGGTGACATAAAAAAGCAAAACTAACATCTCTTGTAAGATTTGAAGAGGGGCTGCCCTTGTTCCATATAATTGGCAACGTGTAAACGACCGTGGTGTTTTTCCTGCGGGTTTTATTGGGTTTTTAAAATAAAAATAAAAAAAATCTTCTCATTTATTTTGCGCCATCACAGAGGGGATGTAGTACCAAACATAACCACACCAGTTATTGTTGTTTGACCGCATTTCCACCCCCCCCCCCCTCTCTCACAATCTAACGTAACATCATTTAGGCGAATACATTCAACGTTTAAGGGCCAAACGATGGAGCACATGTTTGCAATTCTGGCAGCTGCCTGGTGATGCTGGCGCTGTGACTACCAGCGAAACGTCCGTGCCCGATCGTTAAACGTGGATCGCTCTCCAGCAACGCACCGCTGTGCCGCATCGGCAATAAATCCACACGTCTGTCCGTCACGTGACAACCTTGTTAGCCGTCTGCGTCGGCTGAAGGAAGATGGCCTTGCGACGATCATTTTACCCGCGCGATCTGACCCAAAAATCAATTGTGAACCACAAACCGCACACGGGTGTATCGCGACGTTGCCAAATCCTCTTGTTTATTGAATAAGTGCAGTTTCCACTTTGAAAAAAAATAAATTGTCAAAGAAACCGGTGGGACAGGTGCGAATGTGTACGGCCGACCAAGACCCGGCTCCTGCTCCCCAATTTTTTTTTTTTAAAAGAGGTTTGCGACCTTTTATGATCGAATTTGTTTAGGGCATAGGTTTTTTTAAGCAGATATTATAATCGTCACCACCGTTATCGTCAATCCTACTCCGTTATCCTCATCGTCACCACTCTAAACCATTATCGTCACTGGCGTCATCATCAGAACGATCGTCGTCATCCATCTCGGGCTGTAATTATGCGGACGTTTACGAGTGGGGTTTTTCCATTCATTTCAACCAGGCTGCATGCAAAATGGATCAGGCACGGCAATTTGTCACTTACGAGAGACTCCAGCGTACTCTGTGCCCTTCGATTTGAATAAAAATGTGCCTTTGTACATCACAGCTGTCTAAATGTGACCGCCGCTGGTACATTAACGGTGGGGGGAAAAAAAAAAACCTTCAGCAAAATAACGTAAAACAATAAACATCATCGTTTCTCCTAGTTCCTGCCATCCAATTGGCCGTCGATTCAATCCCCAATTAGAATTAAAATAATCCGATGATAATTCTTTTCCCCGAGAAATCCCACTGATTAGAATCGACGCTTGATATTTTTCTAGAATGGTCCGACCTTTGGGAGGATGATTGGCCCAACGAATCAAAAAGCCGCGCAGAATCCTAAACCCACTCATCGTGAAATATCTTCCCGCTATAAACATTCATTATCATTTATTACCAACCCCACAATATCTTACGTTCCTGTGATGTAACAATCCACTTGCCACAAACTGATTTGATCGCTCCATCTCTCTCCGTGGTTGGCTTGAGCAACCGTTTCAAATACATTCCGCTGGGCAGCTCATTGTGCATTATTACATCATTGCTGTTAAGGCAGGCGTAAAGATAAAATGATCGCTCCATCTCTCTCCGTGGTTGGCTTGAGTAACCGTTTCAAATACATTCCGCTGGGCAGCTCATTGTGCATTATTACATCGTTGCTGTTAAGGCAGGCGTAAAGATAAAATGGGGAATATTCACGGTCTTGGCCATCTCAGATGTGCCGAGGTTGCAATCGTAAAGTACTGTGAAACCATATTCACGCCCCCAGTATTGCGGTCGTGTGGCGACGTTTAAACTTTTCGGCAAGTAAATGCTTGCCAGCCCTCGGAATGTACTTTGCGACGTACAAATGACATGTAATGATTATACAACGTGCCGTCTCGCTGAATTAATTGACGTGGGCATAACCTGCGATGAAAATTGTTTCACGCTTGAGGGAAAAGGGGGTAGAATAATCGTAAAGGTTTGCGCGGTTAGCTACATTACGATGCTAAAGAAGTTCAACATACATAGACTTACACAGAGACCCATAGACTCACACAGAGACCCATAGACTTACACAGAGACCCATAGACATTCACACAGAGACCCATAGACTCACACAGAGACCCATAGACTTACACAGAGACCCATAGACACTCACACAGAGACCCATAGACTCTCACACAGAGACCTATAGACTCACACAGAGACCCATAGACTCACACAGACCCATAGACTCACACGGATGCCCATAGACTCGCACAGAGACCCATAGACTCGCACAGAGACCCATAGACTTACACAGAGACCCATAGACATTCACACAGAGACCCATAGACTCACACAGAGACCCATAGACTTACACAGAGACCCATAGACACTCACACAGAGACCCATAGACTCTCACACAGAGACCCATAGACTCACACAGACCCATAGACTCACACGGATGCCCATAGACTCACACAGAGACCCATGGACTCACACAGACCCATAGACTCACACGGATGCCCATAGACTCACATAGAGACCCATAGACTCGCACAGAGA